ACCCACTAACGTCCAATTACTTTCACTGCTATCATATGAAGCAGATTTTTTTTAATGAAAACTAGTGTTAAAATGTGTACAGTTTAATAAAGTTAAAATCTTATTCTGTATAGTTCCATATTCATGCAAAATTACTTTTTATAAAGATTTGAGGCAAACGTTTTGCTTGGCTGAAGTAATTATAGATTATAAAATCATGCTAATTTAATATTATTGTTAGTTGCAAAATGATGTCATATTTATATTACCACTGTTTACATCCTTGAATTATTAAATCATGAGATTGGATGATTACGAGTTAAATAAACTAATATAATTCATTTTAAATAATAAAAAAAATTCTAGCCTGTTCAATTTTTCTTCTTTTGAGTGCATTCAAAATAAAATGATTTTTTTTTCATATTGTTTGAATTAAGAGTTAGACATTATGGCAAAATATACCTCCCAAGCCTTGTGTTTGTATTGTTTTACCCTATTTCTATATAACTTGTCAAACAAGCTAATGTGATAATCGAAAACAAACTTTCCAGAATTAAGTGCTGAGCTAAAAAGAAAATAAAGTTAGGGATTGTTTTTTTTTCCTTTTTAATATTTTATGGCTAAAAAGCAAAAGAGAGTTAGGAGTAAAAAAAGAAAGACAAAAAAATAATTTATTCAAAAAATGTTTCAACTTAGCTAGTGCATATGAAGATAATATCGAAGATATGCTTGGGTAAAAATAAGTGGATAATGTGAGTCATCATTTAAAGTATTACTAAACACAAACAAAAAAATTTGCAAATATTAAGGGCCATTGAAAACAGTGTTGCTTTTTAGTATTTCAATACTCATTTGTCATTTATTAGTTCATTGTGACCTTCAAAGTTGTTTAAATATATTAATGGCTAGTTGTTTATGGTTTGATATTTTAAAGCTAGTCGTTTAATAGCTTGTTTTCCCGTAAATAATAAAATCTTAATTTTGTTCCGTTTTATTTTTTTAATTCATAGTGAAATCTCTTTCAGATAAATACGACAATGAATGCCTTTTAAGTTACATAAGAGTGGTGACGCAACAGTTTCTACTAAAAACATGTCCTGTGTTTATCTAAGTGCATCGAATATGTTTTCCGCCGAAATACACTGTAAAAACTTGTTTAACATCTTTACAAATATGATGTTGAGCAACCGAAAAAGAACACTTTATTTCAAGTTAAGACGAAATCGGTTGTAATTTAAATCTAAATATTTAAAATGGGAAAAGCTTACTTCAAGTTCATGCTCATTCACACCATACAGGAATTATTTTCTTTTCCGGAAACACCAATAACAGTGCACTTTGTAACGAAATTGTTTACATCAAATACGAATTGGCGTGAGTTTTTTGTTGTCTTCTAAGCTGATATTTATCTTCAGAAGCAAAAGTTCCCCGTTAAATCATGTATGCATGTTTTTAATTGTGTAACAAGCATAGTTATCTTTTAGTTTTTAAGTCTCTGTGAACTGCATTAAATGATTTTATATTGAATAATTAATATCTGCTTCTGCTCTGCTAAGCCTAATTTGGATTCATCTTAATATTCCCTCTTTTCTATTAATTTTGATTTACAAACTAATTTTATTTTAAGCATTATTTTGCGTATGCATTCTAAACTTAAATTTTCTTGCTTTGAATAGTATCTTAAAAATAATCTTAGTGACTCTTATGTGCATCATACTTTACTGTAGTTAGAAATTTTAGTGTTATAAAAATGGTGGCAGTTGCTTTATATCGAGAAGTATAAAACAACTGTCTTGATGTTTCACTATATCAGGTGTAGTGAAATATCAAGAACTAAGAGTTATCTATGGAGTTTCCAAATATCATTTTGGAGCTAAGCAGTTGCTACCATTTTTGGTGTACGGAAGTTTTTGACAGGGTAGAAAAAGCTTAAAAATTCGATTTGATGTGCCAGCTCCAGCTATTTTGTTCAAATACAAATTGATTTTTATCAGTTCAGAGGAAAAAGTTTGCACAATACATGGTAAAAGGTGATTACATCAATGAATAAAAAGAAAACTTATTAAAACTTTTTTTTAAATCAATATTAGCCATCGATCCCACAATGTATCTCCAAGCAGCAGAAAAATAAGGAAATATATAAAAAGCTCGAAAATTAAGTTTGTATTTAAGTTTATGACTTATTTTAAATATTAATAAAATACGTATACTAAAAAATATATATATACAAATATTCCAAAAAATTAACGTGTTATACTCATTTTTAAATACTAAGGATAAAATAGGTTGCTTAAAAACCAAATCTAGAGTTCAGCTCATACCTCTAAATACAAAGTGATTCTGAAATATACCACTGCTGTACCTCGGAACAATTTTTTTAGAGAAAATTTAAATGCATTTTTTTCTTTTCCATAGTTTATATTTTTTTCTTCATTCGCTATCATTAATTTCTGGGGAAATATGAATGAATTCTTATCGTTTAATATTTCATGAAAGTGTTTAATTCAGACGTGCAAATAGTGGTTTAGCTAAATCTAGATTTTGAAGCTAATAATACTTTTAGTTATTTATGTTGAAATGCAAAGGGCGCAACAAAATCGTTGACACGCAAAAGCGTGCATAAAGTCATCATCATGGCCTCCACCATGAAAAAATTAAGACTTTTTTTTTGTTTAATCATGAACTATTTCATCTATATGAAATATTTAATAAACCAAACATTTGTGAATGTGCGTGAATAATTTTTTTTATACGCGTTGCAAATATTCATGCTTTTGTACAATTTTAAAAAGGATGTGATTCTACAATAAGGTTAGAAAACAAATTATCGAAGTGTAAAATTCAAAATGCTACACCGCGACAAAATTTACTGTGTTTCTGGCTCTTTGGGAGCACAAGGAAGATCTGTATATTTTACCGAAGAGCTCTGGTAATGATATGAAATAAAGTTTGGTGAATGTAGTAAAATTTTTGATTTTGCAGTGATACCTTAGATCATGGCATAGAAACCGTGCATTCGGCTAAATTTACTTTTCAGTTTTGTATTTTTTAACAAATATATGGTAATAAAAAGAACCACAATTTTGAAAAACAGAGTTCCCCATAAACCATTACTATATAAACAGAAAATTTACAAATGTATTGTAAAAGTACCGTATATTTTGGGTTTTATTACTTGAATTATGTTTTTTTTACCAGGAATGTCATTACAATACTGTACGGGAGTTTTACCAGAATTTTTTTCTCCGTACACATATGTATACAAAAGTTTTAAATGTAATCGAAATAAACAACAAGAAATTACATCTTTTTTAATGGAAAAGAGTAAATTGTATGATTTGAAGAGTAATTATTGATTCCTTTGTCCATTGGTTTGTAATAGTTTACAGTCAAAACTTATAAATTTGAAGATTTTACAATATGAAAATTGCACAGGATAAGAATTTAATTTTCAAGCTACGAAGTAAAGATATACCGTTATAGAAACTAAATATGTTTCCCCCTAATATAGTAAGAAGCATAGACTTACAATTGTAAGATATCTATCAAACTTAAAACTGAGAATAGAATTTTTACTTATTCAAATAAACTCTTTTACTTTATTTTCCATAACTTGTACTGCTAATGAAGCAGAATCATGTAACGAAAGGTTTTCATGGTTTTCCGCTCCATATAACGCAAATGAGGGTTATTTTCATCAAAAAGTCTTCCACGAAAGCAAATTTCTCGCAATGCTTGATCCAGGAGTTCTCGTGTCTTCTGGATTTGGTACAAAATTACAAGACTGCAGACATTGATAGTCGTAAAGTTACAGTTGTGTCGGCTTTTCAACAACAGTGATAAAATAAAATGAAAAATATTAGATCGGTGCACTACTTTTAAGAAATCATGTCCATCAAGTTAAAAATTAGTTTTTTCTATTTTCGTTTTTATCGGTCAAACTTAGTGATAAGAGTTGTCACCTATTGAAATATTACAATGTTTGAAAAATACTCCTGACATCTTGCATTATGCGCAAAATAAAAAAACATCAGTTTTTAATAAACTTTGATCTCGTTATTGGATAATCCCGTACTTATAATTCAAGCTTAATGATTCGAGGCCCAATACTTAAATATACAGATTATTTAGTAAATATGAATTTTAAAATTACGAAATCAGACAAAAAAAACACTTCTTTGAATAAACCTATTTTTTTCTCTCTCTGACTGCTTTGGATTCTTGAATTTCAAAATATGGGAAGTAACCGCAACCCTTAAATATATGCCAATAAGTTGATCGAAGGACTGGAAACCCCTAATGTTAATTCAACTTACGAAAGCTTTAAGCAAATCACAGATGTTTTGCACAAATTGGAAAACTCGTTTGTCAAAGATAGTTACGCAAAAAATTATTTTTAAATTAATTTTTTTATCTAATTTATGCATGGTCAAAATATTTTGATTTTAAAGTTATACAAATTTATGTACCATTTCAATGTACATAATTTCAAACGACAAAATACGAAATTTGAAGGTAATCGATTGAATAGTTAATCGATTGAATTTAAAATTAATACCTCTCTGAGAGGACCACATACGCAAAAAAGGAACACACTGGAACAAAAATAGGTCAACATTTAATGGTCAAACATTTCTCCCACTACCCGTGCTTAAACTATTACAATCACACTTTCCAGATTTCGGCAACTTCTTATATTTTGAGAATAAAAAATCCTAAGCCGCGAGAGAAAAAAAATGAATGTTTAATCAGAGGTAGAAGGTTTTCGCGCCTAATTCCATGACTTTAAATGTTGTCTTAACTAATTAATTAACATTTTTATAAAGTTAGGCCCTTGAACTATTAAAATCGTCTTTTTAAATGTTCAAATCCAACCACTAGATCAGAAGTTATTATGTTTCATTTCTTTATTTTTCTCATTTTAAATTATGCAATTATATTAGAAAAAGTGCATTTTTTCATCATTGAATTTTCAATTTGAATGCAAAGATGACTTATATGAGTATGTTGTTGTTTTGTAGGTTGCGGGCGCTGCAGGCCGAAGCCGCCAAATCGACTAGTGAGAGGAGGGGAGGAAGCTACGATGAACAGAAGCTGAGCAGCGGAGGTAGGGAGATGGTGAAGAAGAGAGGCCAGCAACCGGATGGAGCTCCAGGCCCCTCCTCACTCTTCATCTTGTCCGAAAAGAATTTCTTCAGGAAATACACTAAATGGATCATAGAGTGGCCATATCCTTTTTTTTTCATTTCATTTTTAACAATTTCAAATTGAGAAAAGTGATTATAAAACACAGAAATGTAATCCAATGATATGAACAAGCACTTTAAATTAAAAGTAAATGAACCGCAAATAAAACTATCAACATTTACAATAAGGATGCTTAAATGTAAAGATATCAGTGACTCCTTTTTTTAATACAATTCCACGGTAAACAAAAATCATACATAAATCATTTATTTGACACATGAAAAATAAATTTCAAGCTTTTTAATACAATGTACCTGAAATTATTGTATTTTAATATTAAAATTTACTTGTTTTGTAAAAAAATACTTAAATGGCTACTTCACTTGACTTATTTCTGAACTGGCAAGTGTAGATTTTAACTGATTTAATTAAAAATAAGCATTTTTGACTCCCTGAAAAATGACGGCAATATAAAAAAATTAATTCCAAGAAATTGAGGCAATACGATGCTACTTGATTAAAAACTTCATTTGCTTCAATGTTATAGAAATTGAAAATAACAGTCAACATGTTGCCAGCACTCAAAAATAAGCGCCCTTTTTCAAGACTAGCCAGACGTGAATAAGAAGAAACCAAAGTGAAAACTAATTGTGATTCCTTCGTTAACTTTGGGATTCCTTGTCCTCACCATCTCTCCATTGCTCGTGGAAATTCATTTTATCCTGATTTGCATAAAAACAAAATCTTGTTTTTGGGACTAATGTGGTTTTTCTTGTTCTGATTTTTGTATTTTTTCAGTTTTGTTTCTCATCTTTATTTTCCACTTTTCGTTTTTCGTTTACAACTATACGTTTTATAATTCAAATCACTTTTGTTTCTTCTCAGTAATGTCTGGAAAGTCCTGAAAACAGTTGCCCATTTTTGAGCACTTGAAACATGTCGACTGTTATTTCTAATTTGTATATTCCTAAAGCAAATGAAGCTTTTAAAGAGGGGAGGACCCAGTATTATTTTCAATATTATTATATTGTTAAAAACAATTAAATGCGACATGTTTCACTCAACGTTGAATATGAAAAGCATAATACAATTATGATTAACGTTTTTGATGCAATTGAAATCATGCAAAATTGAGCAATTATAATAAAATAGCTGCATTTAATGCGCATCTCTCACAGCGTACGTTTTTATTACGTCTTAAAAAGTAAAATAAAGTCCCTATTACATCAAAATTTTGATTAGATTTAATTTCTCACTAATTGTAAGCTAAATACTTTCAAATTTCATTCGGTCTACAAACAAAATCTTTTAAAAGCATTGAAAAGAACATATATTTGCTTAAGCTAGACGAAACTCATTCAAATCGATGCGTTCATCATTTCAATTTTCACTTTTGACCTTTGAAATCATTTCACTCGTCTATCAAATGCCGAAGTTTGCTTTTATTTGCAATCAATTCGGTTTTATGAAAACATTTAGACTCATAACTTCGTTTACGGCAGCCTACGACATTTAAAAGGAATTTATGTTGACTACTAAGTTTGAGAGGCGAAAAAGATTATTAAATTAAGTTTTGCTTTTATTGGATTTTCATATTTAATAAATTATATTTGAAATTATTTTATTCATTTAACATCCTTAGATTTGACTCCAATCATTCTGAAGCTACCATAAAAGCACTTAAAAATCTTAATTTTTTTTTGGAAATACTTTTATATTTTTAATCATTTTGTTCCTTTTAATTGCTTTCAAAACCAATTTAAGAACTGATTATGTTGAATTCTAACTAGTAAAACCTAATGTGAAATACCACTTTAGCACTTTACCATTGCAACAAGAAATAAAAATAACTTTAAAAAAAGTTGGTATACTTAAAATTTCCTGCAAAGGATTAGGTATACTTCATGCAATGAAGACTAAAGCAAAAAATGCAAATAAAGCACAAATGAAAAAACATAAATAGACATACTATACTTTCAGTTCTAAAAACAAGAACCTTCCTCAAACTCTAAACACCAAATGAGGGCAGAGAAAGTGAAGAGGTAAACACGTTCAAAGTATTTTAACCAATAGGGAGAGATGAGCAATTTTACTTCTCACCTCTCATCTACAATTTTATTTCAATCAACAACATCTGTTTTAGAAAACATTCAAAGCGAAATAAACATCAAATTAAATTAATTATGTCACCTAATCTATTATATAAACAGCTTATCTTTACAAACAGCTAATCTATTATATTAACTTAAATCGTATTGTTATCTTTTCTCGGAGATAGGATAAGTTAAAATTTTATTAATAATATTAGAACTTTAAATAAATGTATTTCTAAACTAAACAGTGCAAAAAATAACTTAGTTTTGTTGTTCAATCTTTTACTTATTGAAATTCATCTAAATCTTTGGAATTAAGTAATTTTTTGGGAGTATAATTTAAAATTAAGTGATTCTTATGTGTAACATGTCTTAATGTAATTTTAAATTTTAGTGGTACTAAATTACAAATACGGTGGGTGGTGGCGGCTACATTACATCAAGTAGTGTAAAATAACATTCTAGTGGCTTGACATCACCATCAACTATCCTAGAGTTTTAGTTTAGTGGGACGCCATTTTCGTGTAAAATGGTGGCCACTATTTTTGGTGATCAGGAGCAAGATTATTTTTTGGATAGTAAAAAAGTTAAAAATATATTTAACATAAAAGAAATTGAATCCTTTCTCTTATTTATAAGAAATCTTTTACTTGATTTAAACTATCACTTTTATGTCACTAGTTTTATTTTAAATCCTATAAAATAAAATGGAAGAAACAAGTTTCTTCAAAATCAAAATTTTTATTTTATGACACTATAAGCCACCCTTCAATGCTATCAGTGTCAAAATGTCATGCAAAAAGCTACAAAACTTTCCAATTCCAATCTCGAATACACACTCTTGAAAGAAATAGTTGATATAACTTTGTTCCGTATAAATCACATCAAGTATTATTTTTAAACATTCTAGAAGCTTTCTCTGAGAAGAATTATTTAATAATTCTTTTCTTTCACTGTGTGAGTGCATTTTGTTGTTAATATTTCCCTCTGTCATAGGTAAATAATGGGTTATCTAAAAAAGCACTATTTTAGGGGTCTATTCTTGACAATGCTAAGAATTCTCATATTGTTGGATTTTCTTTTTCAAACTAATGCTGAAGCTTATGGAAAAAGTTTCTTCTGGAAAAGTTTTCATTTTTCTTTTTCTAAAAGACAGAACGATAGTTTTATAATATTTTGCTAATATCGAGAGTTTTTTTTTTTGCCCCTTTTTTTATACTTCTTAAGACAACTTATATATAAAATGTCTTTATTACGATTTTTGTTTTTTAATTTCTTCTGTGAAATAAAAGTCTTTGCAAGCTTTTGTTTACATAGTACTTGAAAATCCGTAAGTTCTTATATGGTGCACAAGGTACAAAATGTACAATAAGTTCATGATGTTTATAAGATAATGCCAGCGTTTTGCTCCTTATTGGAAAAAAACTTCAGGAGGACACTTTATCAAATATTACAGATGTTTATAGTATGAAACAAAATTAAAAGGGTTTAAAATAAAATTTAATAAACAGTTTTTTTATTTAAAAAAAATGACAGCCAGTTTTCAACTTTTTTATCTCAATACATCAGTTTGAGATGATTTTGTAATTCTTTTGCACAAGAAAATATTTTTAAAGACATTTTAAGGCACCTTCTAATTTTCGTTACACGTCAATTTAGGCGTATTCACAACTCTTATAAATCCTTGAGGTACAATTTTGTGTCATAGGTGAACAATTATTATTTGTAAGTTATGTTGGTTACAGATCTTTTCAACTTTTCTCTGGAAATACACAATACAATTGGTAGAACCCCATTAATGAGATCAGATTTCACCTTTAATAAACCTTTCAACTGAACTCATTAATATTTGTCATATCTATATCCCAGTTATAGTTTTTGAATATCTCGTTTAATGATGCAAAGTATCAATTCTTAAAATAACCCTTGTTGTAATGATATTTTTTTTTAAATACTACATCAGGAAAACATAATTTATTAACTGCCAATAAAATTTCAAATACATAAGAGTGTTTTTAACCTTTCAATTTACCCTTTCATAAAAAGCTGACTTTTGTATATAATACTACCGATGTTTTTAATACATTTCACTGGATTAGTTTTTCATGCTTTTCATAACTGATGAAGCATATTGTTATCTTCTGTAAAATATTGCAATGTTTATTTTCATGAAAAAAAATACACGGAGTAAAAAGTTCTGATAAAATAACCGTACTGTATATTAATGACATTTCTGCTAAAGAAAACAACATAATTCTAGTAATAAAAACAAAATATACAGTATTTAAACATTTATTTGGTATTTTTTGGTTCATATGGAAATAATTCAGAAATTCTGGTTATCAAAATACTTCTTATAACCACACATTTCTTGTTTAGTAAAAAATACAAAGCTGAAAAGTAAATTGAACTAAATAGAGGTTATTATGTCATGCTCTAAAGTATCACGATAATTTACCAAATTTCGACACATTTACCAAATTTTATCGCATATTATAAAACCATATCTTATTATTAATTTTTCCAAAATCAATAAAGCACTTCGGTAAAAACTACCGAGATTTTTGGTATTCCCTTAGAGCCAGAAGCATGGTAAATTTTACCACATTCCGGTTATTTCCACCATACTTTTGTCTCAATGTTGAATTTAAATTTATTATCAGCAATAAATCTGTGAAATTATCAATGTCTTTTAGTAAATTTTTGTAAGTTTCATGTTGTAATTCATGTCCATATTTCAAGTTGCTCCAATTTCTTGATTTAAAAAAAAAAATTTCAAATCAAAAATGGGAAAATCATTTTAAATGTAAACATTAAATGTTTACAATTAAATTCATCTTTTTTTTTAATTATAAACATTATTATGGTTTGGATATAAAAAAAAATTTCAATATTCACATGCTTCTTCTAAAATAAAAAAATATTGCTGGTATGCTGATTAATATATTACATATAGAAAATTAAAAACATTGAAGAATATTTCAGTTTCAAGTTTCATTTTGTTAAAATTACCATGAGAGACATTTTTATCAAGTTTTTTTCTTATAATCTTTGTCTCTTTATCAAATATTTTGTCATTTAATATTTAAAAAAACTTTTTTCAATGCCCTTTTCCAAAATATCTTCAAGTATTTCAACTTATATTTGGAACCATTTACTAAATTTTATTTTGAATGTGGGTGAAACTTGGTATCAAGGCGCTTTAGTACATCTTCTAAACAAAAACATAACACAACATGGAAAACCGAAGTAAAACTACTACACTTTTAAATTTTTAAATTGAGTTACATAAAGTTTGAATAAAATTGGATTAGATAAAGTGACCCTGGAGTCTTTTTGAAAATACGTTCCTTATCTCTACTCTTTGGTAACTTTTCAATCGTAAGAAACTTCGAGATAATGGCTACTTTAAAGCACTAAACTTAAAAGATGTGTCACTATTTTATATTCATGTTACTCTCACAATTTTATTATAATGCTGTTTTGAAACATCTTCATTGAAAATTCAAAACATAAAATATTTGCATATAAAGAGCGTTTTTAAGACTCAGAATTCAATTTTGAAACTATTTAGATTTTTATTTTATACAATTAATAAAAGGACAAGCTGAACTTTTCATGAAACTTATGTCCAAGAATATATTTTTTAAGAATTGAATCTTCAGACTAAACTTTAAATATTTGAGAGGAAATATTTTTTTCTCAACGCCACACTCAAGGATTTTTTTGAGCCATTTAATATTTTTTCAATCATTTAAATCATTTAATTTTATATCTGAATCTACTTTCAGGCAATCATAATCTTATAAAAGCTGCCTTAAAATATTTTACTTATAATCTATAAGTTTTTATTTTTTCTTTAAACTGGTCTTACATTTAAGTATAAATTTAGTGAATGAAAGTTCAAGAAACTTAAGTAACCAGTTTACACTGGACAGAAACTTAAACTATGAAAAATGAAGTAATTCTTAAAAGCCTCTTCGTTAACCCGTCATCGTTTTCGTTTGAGGAAAATTCGTTTTTGTTCAAAAGAATTAACGTCTTAATCATCGCATAATTTTAAAGAAAACTGCCATAAAAGTTTTTTTCAAGAAAATTAAATAAAACAAAGTGTATATACAATATATGGACTCATTTTTAATTTTTGGGTTAATATCTAGCTTACATGTTTGATGAGTGCTGATATCTAGTGTAAATATAACTATCTCTCAACACAAGACAAATGGACTGGCATTATCACCTGGTGTATAGATTGAGAAATAAACAAGACCCCTTGCATAAGAAATAAATTGCTTCAATCTTTTTGTCTCGTTACTTTCGAACACACCAGCCCCGAAATATCAAGAGCACAAGAAATAGAGAGCGAAACTTCACCGCGTCATTTTGACGAATTATTTTTAAAAAATTTATTAGCACTGCTTGATTTTTTTAAAATTACAATTTAAGAATTTAGTCTAAAATTATTACATTTACATTAATGTAATGTATTTGTAATGTAAATGTACAAAAAATATTACATTACATAAGTCTAAAAATATTACATTTGTAACTGGCTGTATTACTCCATAGTAGTGAAATATATTTTTAAATAACCTTCAAGAATATATAATATAGATTAAATAAATTTGTTTTTAATTTTCTAAAGTTTCTAATGAATAACATGTGCGTCTCGTAAATGTCTATATTAACGTATTTCTTGCTGAACTCCAATATTTCTGATTGAGATGTTAAGGCAATGGAGAGAGAAATTTTCTGCTCATTTTCAATACTATCTCTAAAAAAAGAGTTAATCATAATTAGAAACCTTTTAGCTTCCTTCGGGGCATCGATTTTTGTCTCTTAATTTAATATTATTGCTTCACTTTTGCACTTAGCTAAAGTGATTTTTTTCAAAACTGCAAAATAACACATTTTCTTTATTCTTCGCTTGATACTTTTGTCTTTATTTTATTTGGGGAGTAGTGGCATAGATTTTTATTGCAACTGACACTGAATAAAATTGCTTATGAGAATCATTTTAAATAAAATTCTGTCTCTCAAAATATATTTATTAAAATGTTGTCTCTAATTCTGTGTATCATTTTTGCTTATGGCGTTTAAGAGTAAAATGATACTTCTAGTATTAGAAAGGAATGAAGCTTACTCTTTCTGTTATATCATTCTAATAAGTTCTGAAAACAATTATAAAATGTGGCAGTTTTATAAATGAAATGTGGATGGTATTTTGTATTTTAAGCTAAACTTCGTGTTACTTTAAAATTACTATAAAAATAATATAAATTATGTTACTTTAAATTATTTTGGAGCAGCAGAAAAATAATTTCTTTATGAAAAATTTTCTTTTAGTAGTTAGAAGACATGCGTAGATACTAGAAGCATACTCAATGCATGATTTTTTTTTTAAACTTTCGAAATCTTTACTTATTATAAAAATATCCCGATGGCACATATAATAGAATATCAAAATTATGGTGCAAAGTTTTATCTAATAAAAAATGAAAGGATATTTTATGTTTAAAAATTTCTGCTAAGATCAAAATTTGAGTTAAAGAAACTATTTTGTTCTATCAAATATGATCCTAATTTTAATATTCTAGCATGTAGTTTTAAAATAATTTTCCTTTATTAAGGTATTTTTTATTTCATCAGCAGTAATGAAAAAGTAATGCGTTCAAAATCTAAAAAACATTTTGGAAGATTAAAATTTTAAGTACTATGCTTAAATCTAAACAAAACTGGTTACATGAGCTCCTTAAGTGGTAAGCAGTTTTTAGTAGATCACAATAACAAAGTTGTCGCTTCCATTGTTAAAAGTTACTCCTCCTAATTCCAAACTTTCCAATTTTAACAGTTGTATCAAACAACTGTCCAACTGCTCATATCAAACAACTGTTATTTCCATTTTATATATTTTTGAAGGTAAAGCAGTTTTTAATCATGTAGGATCATAGAAACATTTTTCTTTAACACTAGATTTTCCAAGGAAGTCATTTTAACTGCTTTTTAATTAGAAAAGCAATGATGTATATAATAACACAATTTCTTAGAATTTTTTGGCTTTTTTTACAACATGTAATTTTTTATTGCTAATATTTACTAATAACTTGTTATATAACTGTAAATAATATACAAAATATTAAAAATTTATTTTAAACAAATTTCTTTACACATTATTTATTCTTTTACAATCCAGTCATTTTGACTGCTTATGGGCAATATAGATATATACTAAGTCAGTCTTTCTAGTTTCAGTCTTTCTAGTGTTAAACTTGACAATATTTTATCTTCAAATATTTATTCGACATTATATTACTAAATTGAATTTATTAAAAAAAAATTTTTAGTTGGAAATTAAATGCTTGGTGGTTGATAAAAAGTTTTTAACTCCTTTATTTCTCGATTTACAATGGAAGACTCAAATTTTGCATTATAGTGAATAAAACTAAAATTTTTCGATTAAATAATGCTTTTTGGTGATGATAATTTGGAGGTATTTTGTGAAACCTTTTTGATTATCTAATTTATAACGTTAATTGAGATTTTTTAGTTTTTACTGTTAATGTCACTTTGTTAAAATGTGAATTTTGTATATGTTATTCATGTATGATTCTTAACTTATATTTACTCCATTTGAGTATGCGGTTTTATTGACCATCATAGCGAATTGTGTGGTTTTGGCCTTAGAAGAACACTTGCCCAGGCAAGACAGAACTCCACTGGCACAAAAGCTTGTAAGTATAATCATGATTCACTGAATGGCTACTTTATAATGACCACCACCCCCAATGTTGTGTCACCGATCTCCTTTCAAATAAGTCTTGATTGTTCTTGGGGTGGACTCTGTGAAATATTTAACAGTCATTTGATGTACAGTGTGCAAGAAAATTCCTATTATTATTTTAAAGAAGTCCTATATTAAAAGTTCGATTTCTCAAGTACTATTTGACCGATGTCGTTCAAATTTTGTAGTTTGCCATGCAAAATTACCTTTTTTAAACTGATGTTAAGATTTATATTCCTTATTTTTTTTAAATGAAATAATAAAAAATTATTAATTGTTATTAAAATTATTATTATTATTATTGTTATTATTGTTGCAAAGAATGTTCAATTCGCTTAGAAAATTCTCGACATAGGACGAAATACGCAATGAGTAAAATTAACGTTATGGGTCCCAGCTTTGAACTGTTCTCCTGATTGGGACCATGTTTCCCAGATTGCTGTTACTCTCTATATTTTGAGGGTCAGGAATCATAAACCTCAAAAAAAGTGTATGCTTAATTCGATGAAGTACGTTTTTCTGTATGATTTCATAACTTGAAATATCGTCCAGACTAATTAATTAGCATATTTGAGATACATGAAAATCCAATCATTAGAACAAAAGTTATTTGAGGTAGCTTATTTTTTTTTACGCACTGTACATTTATGACACTTTTTAATAGTGTAAGAATAGGTGCTTGTTAATTTAGAAGACGAATGGCTCTTTTAATTTCATCCTACAAATGAATCAGATTAAATAAGATTTAAATCTGGAAAAAAATATATTTTTTATTCTATTATGTTTAGAGACTTCTTTTTCTTTTACATTTTAGAGGTTTTTGAGATTCAGGCGCCGGCCATGAGTGATGTGCCAATATATAATATTTTTTTTTCCCAATATTCCTTCTTCAAAATCCAAAATATTTTTCAATATTTTTGACACCTCCTCCTCTTTTATCACAAAAAGGTGATACTTCACCATACCCACTACCCTCTTTTTGTTGCATGTAACGCTATATTATATAAATATTCCATAGTAGCTCATAAACAATTACAAGTAAAAATCCTAATTCAAATTTTATTTTAAGATATTTATGATCAACATTATGATTCACAAAATGGAAATCCCTATTATGTTTTCAAACCAATCCTACATAACTACAGCAGTGTGTTTATATCACATTTTCTTAGTGAATGCATAACTCATCATTAGGGTTAAATCATCAGCTATGACAAGCCTTATCAGCGAGGTTATCTAATAGAGACTTATATGTCGAGGAAATGAAGTTCCTAAGCATACACACTACATTAGTCTCTTACGGAAAAAGCATATGGACATAAAATTGTTAAGTGCTCAAAATAAGGTGGTTACTCACATATGTGTAATCCATTATAATAATAATTTATCATATTTTTTGTTTTATGAATAAAATTTCATAATAATGTATCTTCAAAGGAAAATTTAATTGTGTTTTTGTTTAGATATGTTTCACAAATTCACTAAAATATGATTTTTTTAATTTAAAATCTAACTTTTCATCAAAACAAATTTACCTTATATATTAGTTTATTAATACATTGCACCGTTTTCAACATTATTTAAAAAGAAAACTAAATGAAGTACTGTCAAAAATATGAAACACATGATCAAAGTATACTATAGATATATAACATAATCGAATATTTCTTTTAAATTTGTTCCCGATATCACATATTGCATGTTCCATAAATTTACATTATTTAAATTACTATACATTTTCAAAAAAATTTATTACAAGCTCAAATATGAACATCACAAACATATATTACATCACAAACTAATTCTATAACTATTCACAAACATATAGTTATTTTGCTTATAAGTAGGACGTTTTAATTGATTTCAATTTGTTGACTTTAAGGAATTACTTCCTTTGTTTTTCTTCTAAAATTATTTATCTATGTTTCTAAACATGTAAATATACTAAGAAACTATTTACAGTTTTTAATATTTTTTATTATTATGTAATAACTTGTTTACAATCATATGATTATGATGAAAAGTTTAAAATCTTGTTGTACTGAGCAAAATATAGCAATATTTTTTTTGTTTTAACATTTTTTTTTCAAATTTACTTCTTAAAGATGTATTTTGAAATAAATAAAATATACCAATATTTCTAAAAGGGATAGGGTATACTTTGGACCAAAAAAGGACACAAAGTTGGTGTAATGGGGCCAAAAATGGCTTATTTACACCAGAATATCTAAAAAGAATAGGGAACACTTTGTGTTATGTAGCCTAGAGCCAAAAATAGTCAATAACAACGTTAAAAAAAATCACAAAAATAGACATACTGTAGTTACGGTTCTATTAACTGGAACCTTCCTCAGTGTCTATAAATCGATGCTATATATTTTGTTTTTAGACACTGAGTAAGGTTCTTGTTCATAGAACCGAAACTATAGTATGACCATTTATGTACGTGTTATTTGTATAGTATGCCCTTTTCTGCTTTATTCGCATTATTTTTTCGTTTTATACTAATATTTCATATACATTACTTTCATTATTAAAGAATCCAGTTATATGCTAAGATATATAAAATACATCAACAATTTATTTATAATATTTGTTTTTCTCTCACAGGAGACAACGGAGCCATACTTTTTAGGAATTTTCTGCTCTGAAACTTTATTAAAAATATTAGCTTTAGGTTTTATACTTCACAAAGGGGCTTATTTACGAAATATTTGGAATATTATGGATTTTGTTGTTGTAGTTACCGGGTAAGTTTACAATTCTTGATTTATCTGTACCAACTGACATTTAATATAAGAATCTTAATATTCTTTTATATTTCTATTCTCTTTACTATTTTTATTATTGGATGACTATATTTTTGTTGCACTTTTATCATGTATTCTTTAAGTTTTACTTCTTCGCTTTCTTATCCTTTCTCTGAAAACCATCAGCAATACGAGAGAGCCTAGTTTAATTTTTTCACCAAGTATGCTTAATTAAATAATCTAATTAATTTTATTTTGAAGAAAGGCGATAATTAATTTAAATCTCTTACATTTAAACTCGTTTATGTGTTAGTAATAATTTTTGCAAAACTTATTCTTCCTAAATATTTTTTTTCTCTTTTCATTTCATTCCATATATCCAAACTACTGACTTTAGTGAAACATTTTTAATATTTCTGTTTACAGAAGCTTTTGTGCAAATTTAATTTTTATGTTTTGAATTTAAACATATTATTTGTGAAACATAAAATGACAATTGTTAAATAAATGAGGCGATTTTGCAAATCACTCGTGATTTGTGAATTTTCAATCACTTATAATCATACAAATAATGTTTCTACCGGTCCCTATCATGATTTAGCTTTCTTTCTTGTAAGGGTTTGTTTCTTAAAATTAATTTTACACACATGAAATATTTCTATAACTTTAAGTGAGAATGTGCTCAAAAATAATCGTTTTATTTTTGTACAAATTTTATCGATCCTCATAAATATAAAAGATAAATAAAAGAATAACAGTAAAAATTGGAAGAATATACTGTTAAAAACATCAGAATTTTGTGAATCATTAACGCAAATCATTAGGAAGAATCATAAATATTTATTCTGTGATCAGAATCAGTACTAATTAAAGTAAAGAATAAATATAATTTCTGCGTACTGAAATTATAGGCGTAATCGTTACTAATATTGCTTAACAACTGTTAATTATTATTACACGTGACTTCCAGCAATCATAAATGTTGTGTGATTAATTTTATTTTCAAGCTTCAGAAATTTTGAGCAAAATTGCTACACTAAAAGGTTAACTAGTTGTGCCGTAAGAATTAAAAATTAAGAGATATACAAATTAAGTACTCTTTTAATAATGGAAAATGTTAATAAAATATATTTTTGAAACGAAACGTTTCTTGAAGTCTAAATCCCCATTCCTAAATAAATAATGGAAATGGAAATCACAAAAGGGTGGTATTAGTAGTATGAAGTACATTAGTTAAGCGAAGAAATTTTTGCATATGAAGATTCTCGATTCATCAAAGCGTATTTGACTTAGTATTTCATTAAATGTTTAGCTTTCCAAACTAAATGTTCGACTTTCCAAAACTCCTTTTCATGTATCTGAAAATTCTAATTGCAGAGTAAATAAGTTAATAAATTAAAAGCAGTGGAAGATTATATTTCAATTAAAAATTTATAAATACTATGCAAGCAAGACAGCACCATGATGGAGTTCGTATATTTAATGAGAGTTACGACAAGGAGCTTTAAAATCGTCCAAATTGGGGTTGTTAAAGAGTAGAATGGCGTAATAAGTTACCACGCTTGGCGACATTTTGCTTAAATCTCATTTTCTTTTTTCGCATTAATTTTGTATTCGCTATATTGATCAATATTTCCTTCCATTTTTTTTACCAGATGCGAAATTGGAAAAAGTATTGATTACTTATATTCAACTCTTTAAATATAAAAATATAACTTTACTTTGAGTTACACTTTATGATCATTTGCACAATTTTAAAATAACTTTTTAGCAAAAATTTTATATTTTATCGGAAATGTAAATTTTTTTCGGCATGCTCTGTAAAGAAATTCCGCATCAAATTACGGGGGAAAGTTTCTGCACTCAGAGTGCTGGTAATTTTTATTGAAACTTTTTATGGAAAAAAAATTCTGATATAATTTTTTGATCGTAATTTTTACAATAATAATTGATGTATAATCACTAAATCACTCTAATTAAGTTAACATTACTGACAAAATTGCGGTATTATATTACACGTTAACAAAGGGTTTTACGGTGAAATGGATACGGATGATGCACACAAAATGCCGGTACTTTATGCCGTAATTTGTGCCGAAGTTCTTTACAGTGTATAACATAAATAACTTGATAATAGTACCAAGCATAAATATCATAGTTTTTAAAATCTGCACGACTCGCCATTAAAATTGCTATGCCTGGAAGGAATGCAAATAACAGAATGATATTTATTGGAAACATACATTATAGTTGGAAGAACAAGTGATTAAATTTTCAGGATATTTGGATGTATAGATCCTGAGGAATCAGTACTCAGAGCAGCCTTCCCTGGCAGCAATATCAGCAGTTATTCTCCTGGGCATCGAGTCGAACAGAGATTGGATAGCATGGACGGGTACAGCATTCCATGCAATTTCAACATTACGCCACAATTCATCGATCGTAGTGACTGACGAGTGGTGGCGGACCAGACGTTTTCAATTGGTAAGAGATCGGGAGAACGTGCTGGCCAGGGAAACAGGTGAACATGTTCTGTGTCGAGGAAGGTCAGGACAGTGCGGGCAACATGTGGTGGGGCATCGTCCTGCTAAAACGCAGCGTTATGGATGCCTCGAAGATAAGGCAGAGCAACTGCCCCTAACACATCATCAATGTAACGGCTACTCTTCAAAGTTCGGGCAATGCGAACAAGAGGTGTTCGCAACGAGTATCCAATGGCACCCCATACCATTACCCCAGGTGATGGGCCAGTACGACGATGTCGAATGCAAACTGACAATGAACGCTCTCCACGATGTCGCCAAACATGGATGTGGCCATCATGATACTGTATACAAAACCTGGATTCGTCTGAAAAGACGACGTGATGCCATTCCTGCATCCAGGTTCGTCGTTGATCATACCATTGGAGGCGCTCCTGTCTGTGATGCAGCGTCCACGGTAGCCGAAGCCTTGGTCGCCGTGCTGACAATCCATGCTGCTGCAAACGTCGCAGAACTGTTCGTGCAGACACTTGCTGTCTTGCAAATGACCCCATTTGTTAAATCAGAGTTCATGACGTAGCTGTACGATCTCTTAGGTTATGTAGAGAACATGCCTTTCTTTTCGGCTGTTAGTGATGGGGGGTATCTGAGATCCTGCATGGCGTTCCATATGATCGTCATGAACCCATCGTTTCCATATTCTTCTAACAGTCATGGGATCTCGATCAACGCGAGCAGCAATACTTCGGTTTGATAAACCAAAATTCCGCTAGGCCACAACACGTGCTGGTAGGCATTTCTCCTTCTTACACGAGGCTTATCAAAAACTTTTTTACCCAAGAATAGCACTCAAATTCAATTTCTGCTTAAGAAACTTACCGTCAAACCTTTTTTTATACACATTGTAGGTGTCGCTATCACCTCTTGCTTTGTATGAATGCACTGATAAGTTAATCATTTGCATACCACAACATGCCTTATCCGTCCTGCAAATTTCACGTTCGTGGTGAGTCACCTTCCTGGTGTTAGCAATTTTAATGGCCAGTAGTGTAATTATCATAAAGCATATAGTTGTATTAAAACAATTTTTATTAAATTAATACTTTGTATAGTCTAATTTTTTTTTTATAAAAGCAAGAAGAAAATGCGTGTTGTAGTTCCGAGATTCACCTTGTTAATTCAAAGGAAAATTTTTGTTTCTTTTCTGTCACAGATCTGTCGTAACTCTCCAAAGTATATTTTAATTAGAAACACCTAATCTATTGTATTGATAGTCCCTTCTATTCATTAAATTTATTTGTATTAAATTAATTTTCATTAAATTAATTTTCATTAAATTAATTTTTATTAAATTAGCTTTAATTAAATTAATTTTTATTAAAAGTTAATTTTTATTAAATAATTTTTTTCTAAATTAATACTTTAATAGTCTAAATTATTTTTATAAAAGCAAGAAAAAATGTGTGTCTGTAGTTCCGGAATTCTCCTTGTTAATTTAAAGAAAAAATTTTGTTTCTTTTCTTTTCAAAAAATTTTGTCTCACAGACTGTTACAGATCTGTCAATTGTAACTCACTAATGTATATTTTAATTAGAAGCTCCTGCTGTATTCTATTGATAGTCCTTTAGATTTTTTATATCATTAAAAATATGTAACTGCTGACAAGTAACAAAAGTAAGATTTCTATTATTTGTAACTGTTATAGAATGTAACTGTTTATAAGTGACGACGATTTTCTTTATCGTTAAATAACTAAATTATTAAAATTGCACTTTATAAACCTTCTATTTTAAAATTAAACATTTTTGTAAGGCAAACTTTAAACTTTTGTTAACACTACACCTGTTTTTGAACTTTACATTTCTTGACACACTGTTAGAATTAAATCTTTCATCGATAAAATATTTGGATAAACTGTACTGCTATTGTGAAAAGTTATTTAAAAGTTTGTAAAATGTTTATTAAAATGTCAGGTAATATATTTTAACACAATGAATTGAATTAAGCTAAATATTTATAAAGTATAACCATTTTTCTTTTACCTTTTTTAATTGAAGCTTGAAGAATGAAATTTAAAAATTTTAACATAAACACTTCATCCTATTTTCAATTGTGAGTTTTTATTTGGCACTGCATTGCTCTCTTTTTGCCGATGCCTGTAAAATTTTTAATCGTGCATACTTTTCCATTAATGCCTTGGATTCCCTAAACTATATTAACTTAGATATTTATAGTACTTAAAAATATACTAGTTAATTATTTTTACTTGTGTTTTCTGAAACAAAATGCAAATAAATACTTTACTTTGCTAATAACTTTTTCAAGTTTAAAAACCACATAATTTAGAAGAAATAATAAATTTCAAAATCTTATAGTCACTACTTTTGTGATTACTTTTACATGTTTGTTAAAGAAAATCAATATCTGAAATAATAATTAATTGCATATGAAATTTAAACAATAACCGTTATTTTGTACTAATTTCCCCTGAACAATTTTTCGATAAAATAGTTTTTAAGGAGGTTACTCTTTTAAAAAAATTTTAAAATTTGTCAATTCAAAAATTAAACATATTTTTCAGGGTGATTACTTTTTTACAGCCTTTTTATGGTGTAATTTTTTATAAAACTTTATTGATTTTCTCAACTTAATGTGACACTTTTGATTTACTTTTAATTTTATTACAATAAGAGTGATGTTTTACTAGGAATATTTTTACTAGTAATATATTTACTAGTATACTAGTAATCAATATTTTAACATCTTTTGCGCTAATTTTTATTGGATTTTTATCATTTGAAAAATAATAATTTGAAGTTTTTTTTGTCATGAACACAACGGACAAAGCCTTAGTCACCCTTAAAGTACTGTTTAATACCATGTAGCCGAGTAATAAGTGCGTCCGTAAGTTTTTACATAAAATTAAAATCTGTATGGTGTTTGATCGCGCAAGTCTAACTGCTGAATTTGGCATTATACCCATTGTTCTAACATGTCTCTCACATTTTCTTTGGGGTGCAGGTCCAGTTTATTTTTCAACTCAATCTATATGCAATAGAGTGTATGGGTGTAGAGTGCGTAAGATAAATTTAAAAAATCATTCTAAATAACTTTTGTTCTAACCATCATATTTTCGCAAACTAAATGCCACTTTTAATGGTTTAAAAAGGTGACCTGTGATATACAGCAGTGCTAGCACCTGATAAAGTTACAGACACAACAGCGTACTTTCTCTGAATAATCACTCTTTGTTTTCAATAAATACGGATTTTTGACTATCGAAATATAAAAAGTAACCGCAATCTGGAACATATAATTCTAAAAGTTAGTATCACTCCAAATTGTCAATTTCATTTTTAAAAATTTCATCATGCTCGGGAAGTTTTTAAATGAAACGAAAAGTATTTGCTCACAATTATAAATTTCGTTTGTAAAAATGAATTGTATGTAAAAATAAAATTTTAATGATTATTTATTATTAATTTTTCAACAAGGGACAAAAGCTTTTTGAATTTGAAAGCATACAAATTTTTACACAATTTTAAGTGACAAATACCTGAACAAATTCATATACAATATGTGAGCGAGTTTGTAAGTCATTTCGTATTTTGATTCTTGCATTTTTTTAGAACTATTTGACCAATTTCGTTTACATTTTGCAACTTGCCATTTGAAACTACATAACTTAAAAATGTGTAAAAGTTTGTAGACCTAACCATTCGAAATATTTCCAACCATTATTAAATAAAATAATAAACATTATTAAATTGTCTTTAGATAACCAAATTTTACAATTGTTTTGGGGGGGGGGGAATTGATTCACTTGAAATTTTTCTGAGAGTAAGCAAGTAGGTAAAATTAGAATTTAGGGGTTGCTAACTTTCGACAGCACTCCAGACTAAATTTTTGAGGTCGCTCCAGATCCCTGATTTCACTCTGCCCCCCCCCCTAATATTTTGAGTGTAAAAGTATGTTCAATCAGAGACAGTATGCTGAGATCGTTTCCCTAACTTTATTAATAGTTAGAACTAATTAATTAAAGCATTTAGGGCAACCCTTTGTACCATTAAGATTGACAATTAGTTTGTTAAAATCAAATCATTGGAGAAACAGTTACTCAAAATTATATATTTTTTATTTTACACACATTGCATAAAACTATTGAAATATTTTTCCATGCCGATGTTGTTGTAGCCATCTAAAAAAATAGGCGTATCAACAGCAAATTCATCATAACGATGTTGACTGAAATGCCCCACCTGATCATCCAGAACTTTCAATTAAACATGCTTTTTCATTATGATGCTCAAGCTAACCTCAGTGAGCCAACAGACACCATAAAATTACTATTAAAAAATTTCAAAATATGCTTTTTATTATTTCTCTAAAGGTGACTAATTATTTGTCCGGTGAGCTTAAAATTTAATCCTCCTTTCAAACCATCCATTTTTTGCAATAAATTTACTGCTAAGACCTCCTTTAACAAATCATAATTTTTGAGAGATGCAGAATGAATTTTTATTCCAGAAGAAACCAATTTTTGTTCCCAAAACTCAGTAGTCGAGGTCACATTTTGACTTTGAATACAGTTAAGAAAAGTTTTGCTTGTTTCAGGATTATTAACATAACTGCCGAAGAGAGCGAAAACTTAGATTTACGCATGCTTCGATCCTTCCGAGTATTACGTCCACTGAAACTTGTGTCTAGAACACCAAGTAAGTTAAAGAGTGGGAACAGAAACAAGGAAAATAGATAGTCCTTTGGTCACACTAATGTAGCTCCCACTCACAATCATATAGTTCACAATCTCACAGTTCCTCATAATGGGTGTTACTGATAGTCCCGAATGAACATAGACAAATATCTCTGTAGTCCCTCATAGTTTTCTATCATAGTGCTTTAGAATTCTATTTGAAAGTGTGCTTTGTATAGTTCCTACAGTACTAGCCCCTCACTTAAACTATAATACTAGAAGTTATTTAAATAAAGTATATTTATAACTCTATTTCCTGTGTAAATTCTTTGATGAAATATTTATTTCAGAAAACATGGGCTTAATTGGTATTACTTGTTTGTAAAATACCCAATTTATATTTTTTCAAATGATATATTTTTAAAATATTTTTATATTATTATTAGTATAGCCTATTTATGATTGTATTTGTACGCAGGAAGATATATTATGAATGGTGTAATGAAGTGTGTCCTTTCTGTAAAATTTCTCAACATTTTGTACATTAAAATTGCTTAAAGGCATTTTTAAGCATTTTTGAGCCAAATTCCAATCTGCGCTTCGTTTAATTTTTTTTTAATCTGTCATTCTTTCCAAGTCCCCTTTTAATAATTTTAATTGACATTTTAAAATTGTACGCATGAAGTTACACGCATTTCATACTTTAATTCTATACTCTAATTAGAATCGAAGAAATATTTACGCCTAAACGACCTCCACAAACACAAATTCACTTTTAGAATCATAGCCTTGTAATACTTTTGAAGATTTTTCGTAATTTATTTGTAATTTTGAATTTTTCATAACATTCGCTTATGCTTTTCATTCTTTATTATTATTGATAAAATTTTCATTGTTAATAAAGTTTAAAAAAAAATAATTCGTATTTAATCATTTAATTACGCAGCTGTTTGCAAAAAAAATTTATAATATTTTATTGTGCCAACAAAACAAGTACAAAAAAGAGAAACTAACTTTCACGGCAAACTTCATCACGCATCCTACATTCTACTTAGTTAAAATTTATGTAGTTAAAATCTACTTCTGTAGTAATGGTACATCTGCCTAGTTACCAGTAGATAACCGAATGGATGCATTAGTCACTTCTGTTGCTTGCATTTGTAATCCCTTAGCTTAGATTACCTGTAGATATCCTCCCATTTTTCCAGGTTTATAACATTCATTGTACCCCAAGACATAGATGTAGACTTGAGAACACTGAGAGCTATTAGAGTTCTGAGGCCTTTGAAGCTGGTATCTGGTATACCAAGTAAGTGTGTATTTCATGATTATGTATGAGGTGAGTTTCTATTATGTGCTGCCCTCTGTTGTTATTATTATGTTTTTAACAAATTCAGCGTCTTAAGCGGATATATCTGTCGACAATACCTTAGCAATAATTGGATTGCTTTTAGGAAAATCAACGTTTTATACGAACGCATCGTTTACTACGCTTTAGCAAAATTACGACATTGTTTATGTTTTTAATTTACTCGACGTCCTATAAAGGTGTACCTGTTTACTACACATTAGTAATAATTCTGATGTTGCAATATGATTCGCAGTAATGATTCTGTCTTCACCCAATTTAAAGTCTTACACCGATCTATCCGTTAACACAGTGGTCGCCAAAGTGGTCTATATAGACCCCCAGGGGTCTATGTAACAAAAGCGGGGGTCGATGTGAGCCTGGGGGTCGATTGGGGATCGAAGAAAAAACAATTCTTAATACGCAAATCCCTCATACCTGATAGTCATTATTAAAACTTTTATATATATACAGGCCATCTTCAAAAACTGAGCAACGATTTTAAACTGCGCTTTGTTGATTTGGAAAACATTGACATCCTTGATTGGATTATTGTGCCATTTTCTGCTCAGATTGAAAGCGTGGACATCAACCTGCAAGCTGAGCTTGCTGAATTATTATCGGATCTTGAAGCAAAGACGCTTTTTAAAAATTTAACAATATAAGCAAATTTTGGACAAATATAAATATAATGCAAAAATGTGTAAAACTCTACGAAATTGCTCAGCCATTTATGCTAGGATTTTCAAGTTCCTATATGGTTGAACCCGGTTTCAGTCTTAACTAAGTACAGAAATAAGTTAAATGTGGAGTTTCGAGGGTATTTAAGATTAAAATTGACCAATTTTGTACCCAAAATGGCGAACCTTGCAAAAAAAACACCAGGCACACCCATCTCATTCATTAAGAAACAATAAATCTGTAGTTACTTTACTTATTTTTTCATAAAACTATTGTTACACAATGTACTATTACTTTAATAAATGTTTAAAATCATAAAATAAATGAGCAAACACAGTATCTAATAGAGTTTCATTTTAATTAACAAAAAATTACTTTGCTGGGGGTCGATTGAGATTTCGAAAAAATATATAATGGTCGATGATCGAAAAGGTTTGGCGACCCATGCGTTAACACATTATCAATAATTTTGACTTAGAAAATGAATTCAGCCATTTCACCGTCATATATCCGTTTATTATACTTGTACTTTTCCAAAGCTCAGAAACCAAATACAAGTCAATAAAATATTCTGAATCATGGTCCCATTTGACCTTTCAGATTTCCTAATCACTATAATCTTGAATAACTAGTTATCTTGTTGAATACCTTTTAACTTGCTGTACAACTATTGTCAGTAATATTTCTATTGTGAATTATGCATTATAACGAAACAACTTCTTAAATGAATACATCCTTTAAGAGGCATATCCATACGAACGTATTCCCCGTCAGAATTATTGTTACACCTTATATCAATAATTCTGACTGGGAATATGCTTTTACCTAATTCAACGTCTTGTACGGATATATCCGCTTAGTGCATTTCAGTTCCTTTTCTTTGCACCCAAACTAATATAAGCCAATAAAATCTTCCCCATCGCAGTTCTTCCTCTCATGCAACTTAATTGGATTCCCCAAACACTGCAATCCTATAAATCTCAGATACCTACACGAATAACTCTTACCTGCCAATACAATTATTGTTAGCAACACTTCTGCAGTGGATTATACATTTAAGCTCAACGGTGTCTTGGGTGGATATATCTGGCCTTTTATAAAAATCTCAAAAACCAGCTATAAAGCAATTAAAAATTCCCTGTTCGGTTCTTCATCTCAATCAACTCATCAGTTCTTAATGCTGCAATAATGAAAAGTTGATCTACTACTTCCTCAAGACTATTTAACACAGAATTGTTTTAGGAATTTTTTATATAGGGTAACTTTAGGACAGATCGTAATTTTTTTCAAATCGAAAATAAAAAGGCTAAGACGAACGGTAAATTTCCCATTTTCATACACGCACTCAGCATCTTTTGAGTAAAAACAATGAAATATGGAGTTAATATATTTGAAAATAAATTTACTAGTAGTTATTTCTTTTTAATTTCGAGGAGAGTTGGCCATCCAATACAGTAAAAAAAAATTAAAATTGTAATAGGGAAAATACATTTCGTAAACTTTACCATAAATAGTTTATGATAAGTTGTAAATAATGACTTTTATTATGAAAAATAAGTAAAACGAATCTAATAAACAAAATGTAATGAACAAATTTAATCCTTCACTTTCGAAAAACTTTTACCGCAATGTTGGCAAGGTTTTTCAAAGTTTGTATATTTTTCATGGATCCATCTCATGCACCTTACGCATCTTATTCAGTCATTATTTTCAGCTGCGGTATTGTACTCTTTTTCCACAGCCAACACACTGATCTTTATGAAATTTTGCATCAGTAGAATTAGTTAATTAAAAGTCTATTTTATCTTATTCGCTGATGTAAATATCTTATTTTTTAATAGTTATAACTTGCTTATCAATTTTATCTATTTCTGAAATGGTAATTTCCTCCGTTTTACAATATTTCCAATTAAAACCATAAGTTCTTGTTTGAAACTTTTTTTCGACTGTTTTTCACATACTAATAGTAAGAAATGGCGAAATATTTAATACCCCTTCAAATTAAAAATAAACCAAAATTCGCAACTATGTTAGAAATAGTGAAGTAAGGTAGTGAATACGAAATTATTAAAACACACCTCATTTTCTTAATTTTGCTATAACTGCTTAAATTTTTTAAGACGCATCTCCTGATATGTTTGTACGTACTTATAAAAAGAAGTCATAACTCCTCGATTTCATGTGAACATCTCTCCAAAAGCAAAAGATGATATGGCAACCGAATTTATAACGTCACTTTGTCTTTGTCATTATATTATTTTGATTTTACTCAGGAACAAATATTGGACTGCATGCATGCTTTAAAAATCTATGCTAGTTTGAAAATTACATTACCTATGTTTTAGAATATGTAGATAATATAAAAACAAAATACCTTATTCACGCAAAAATTGTGACCCTTTAATGAAGTAAGCATTAAAATTTTAATTATGAACAACGCTTTGTGCAATTTAATGAAAAAATTCAACTACTTCCAATGAAAGTTCATCTGCTGTAGGCAATCGATAAATATCGGAGATATTTAGACTGGCCATCTATTCTGTTTGATCATTGAACCTAGACTTACCCTAAAAAATCAATTAAGGTTCAAGGGGTATAAAAATTCAAGAAATATCTGGTAATTCATTCTGAAATTATATATAAATATTTTTTATGTGTAAATCTTAAATAATCGTGGTTTTAACTTTAATCAAATGGCTATATTGAGAAAAAACAAAAAATTCATGTTTTAGTTAGTTTTATGAGTTTGTGATTTAGGTATGAGACAATACATTTAATACACAAATTTAATGTTTTTAATAACGCCTAATAGGTAAAACAATATTTATGCAAGGTATTAATATATGTTTCTATTTTTTCATTGTCTTTGTCAAATCTTCAGAAGAATCTATTACTTGATTTTCTGTTTATAAAATGATTCTTAAATACTTACTCAAGTCTTAATAGTTTAGATGCGTTTTAATAATTTGTTGATATTTTTGTTCCAGTTAAATATTTTTTTAAACAATTTTTTCTCATACCTTCATTTCATTGTCCTGATCTTTAAAAAAAAAATTTTTTTTTTCGATTTTAATTTACAGTAAAAATTAGGAATTCAGAATTTATAATGAAAACCATCAAATTCTTAAATTTGGTAGCAATGCCAATTTTAAATTATTATATAAATTGTTAAAAATTGTATATATATATTATTATAAATTGTTAAAATGTGATATTATTGACATGACATTTTCAGCATTTTTAGTTTGTGATACGAATGTCTTTAATTATAACCATCACCTTAATAAAACTTTAGAAAATGACAATAATTAAAGTGCGTAACTATTAAAACTGCATAAAATAACTATTAAAAGAAATTTCTTTTATTTATACGCCATATTTCCCTGACAATTAAAAATCTCAATTTTAATATTTAAATAAGGTTGTAAACAGAGATTGCCACCATTTTGTTTGAAATTTATTTAATTTGGGGACAAGTTTTTTTACCACTTAAATTGCAAGAATTTTAAAATTACAATTTCTAATAACTAATTGAAAACAACCTTCTCAGAAAATATGTTCAAGATTCAAATACTTATTTTGCACAAAACCAACAAATGTTTGTGCTTGAGACTACTTATAGAATGTAAAAACAAGTGATTATTATTTGATACAAGGAAATGTTTTAAAAAGTTTAAGTAAGAGAAGTAAGAAACAAACTTCTTACGTCTTGAATAGTTTACTTTAAATGAACTGATATTCTCTAGCTTAATAAAATATATTTTTTTTTTACTTTTTAAAGAAAAGTAACAGAAAAGTATACATTGAAACAAAAGGCCAAAAAATTCCGAAACAATTTTTTTTTATTAATTATACTAAATTATTTAAGATTTTTCTATGCGAATATTTTGATTTTTTTTACTCAAGAATTTAAATCTTGCTAAACTCTCTTTATTAAAAATTTTAATATTTCGAATATTTTTATTATTAAATTTGTTGTAATATGCACTCTTTTTTGAATTAGTTATCTAATTTAATATATTTTAATTTTTCACTTCCAAGTCGTAAATTTCGAAATCCTTCTGTTTTTTTAACAGAAAACTAATTTGTTACAAACTTTACAAAACATATTCGAGCAATATGTTATGATCGCCTTTAATATAAATTTTCAAAATCTTTGTTAAAAATAGGGACGAAAAATTCTTCTCATTATGAATCGCAAATAAATATTAATGCAAAAAAATCTAATCTTTTCGAAATCTAATAAATCATTAGTGGAATATAACGGGATAAAAAAAACTATTTTGACTGTTTGATAAAATATCGAAGTTGTTTCTAATAACCAGTTCCCACTTCTTTGTACTCCTTCCACCAATGAAATTAATTTTTCAGACTCACTTTCTACTGTTGTGATCTGTTAACTTTCGATAGCTCTCAAATAATTTTTTTTATATCAGAATTTGAGACCTCCAAAGCGATGAATTTTTCCTTTTATTTTTGATGAGAATTTTTCAAATATATAGTAAAGGTGGTCTACATCATACATACATACATACTTATATCAAAGGTTGGCAAAATCATACATATTTATATCAAAGGTTGGCAAAAAGCATATTTTTTAAAAAATCAAAAATCCTATTCTTTACTTAAATCGGAGTTTCTTTTATTTAAAGGAGATTAATTTTACATTTCAAGCAGATTTTTATCATTTTTAATTAATTTTACAATTACCAATCAAGGCTCTGATGAAATTTATTAATTATACTTGATATTATTCAAAAACATTATAGGTAAAATATTCAACATATACAACTAAATAGTTAAAATAATTACAAACAAACCCCTGAATAAATAAAATCATAGCAATTTTTGTTTCATCTCAGCACTCCCATGAATTGTAATTAAATTTCATTACTTATGTTCACTAACTTTTTGCTTAATGTCCTTCAAAAATACTTGTATTTAAATAAACTTAAAACTAAATTTTTATTATTAAAACATACTCATTAAACACCAAATTATTTCACATACAGCTAATGGCAAATTCAAAGTTAAAATTTTCACAACCAATTTTATCCACCTCTTTTTTAAAGTTATTTTTTCTATTTATCAACCTATTTTGAACGTCAAACAGTAATATAAATCTATCCCCTTATCAGTTCTCTTTATTTGTGTGTCCTGATAATAACTGCATTATTAATGAAATCTGACATTTAAAAAAATCCCAACCATAAGAATAGACAAACCATAAAATATTCGCACGAAACCAAAACTTTACAAATCAACTAGATTCTATGATAAATTCTTTTCTTTATTTTAATCAATCAAATAAGATCAGAAAATCATACTGGCTAAAGTGTTGCAACTTTTAAAAATCCTCCAAGCAGGATCATCTTTAAGTTGCATCACACATTCGTTATATTTTCACCAACAATTGGATACTTGAAAGTAACGTCATCGTTGGCAAATCGTGACATTTGTCAATTCAAAAGCCAATTAGGTTCAACACACACGTGTGACGTTATAATCAGGATTAGAGTTATCCAATTAAATCTTATTGCAATCACATGGTTAGGCTACGGCTCCTATACTATCAGAGCTGACCTATCAAGCAATATTGTAGCAAACAAGTTCGCAAGTTAATGTTACGTCAGTATTGTGTTCTTTGCTCCAAAAATAGATGATAAGTCGGCCTGTCTAATTCAGGGGCTTTAGGTTGGGCATAATCACTTGACTTCTTTTTAAGTTGCAAGTACTCACTTGTAACTCATACCGTTACCTCTGTGTTGTAATCTATTCTCATAGTTATCTATATCGAAAGACAAATCATCCATCTATACATGGACACACTTAAAAATATTCCAGTACAGAATTTTCTGAAAATTTATCCAACCGACATTTCTGTTTGTTTATAAGTCAATTCGCTATAACTCGAAGTACGATAACTCGAATATTACTATAACTCGATTTTTTTATGAGGTCCCGACCCTTTTATCTTCAATTTCATGTTAATTATTCTCGATTACTCGGATTTTACTCCCTTTAACTCGATTTTTTTGGATCTCTTAAAGCAAGAAAAAAAAACTAGGAGCTGATATCTTGCCCTTTCCTTTGCAAAACACATACAATGTCTTTCGCACTCTTCATGGAGAAGCTAAAGCTGTCCCTCTTGAAGTATGTGAACAGTGGTTAAATGAAACGTTACCAAATTTACTTCAAGGATACAGTGAAAATGATGTTTTCAATATTGATGAAATGGGTTTATTTTTTAAATGTCTTCCAAATAAGACTATGATGCTTAAGGATGAAAACTGCTCAGGGGGCAAAATGTGCAAGGAACGTTTGACTGTCCTAGTAGGAGGAAATGCGTCTGGGACAGAGAAATTGCCCTTACTTGTTATCGGAAAATACCGAAATCCCCGATGTTTCAAGAATGTAAAAGCGTATCCTTTGGATTACAAGTCTAGCAAAAAGTTTTGGATGACATCAGCTTTATTTGAAGACTATGTAAGAAAATTGGATCGGAAATTCTTCGCTAAAAAAAGAAAAGTGACACTCTTAATGGATAAATGCACAGCGCATAGTGATCTACCTAATTTGAAGGCCGTAAACTTGCAGTTTCTCCCGCCAAACACAACAGCAAAGTTGCAGCTGATGGACCTTGGTATCATAAAGTGCTTCAAACAGTCTTATCGTAAATGGCTTGTCAGAAAAATGATTAATAAGCATTAATTAAATAATCCGACAATATTTTGAAAGTCCAAAACCGAAACTAACGGTAAGTCGATCTTCCGATATGTCGAAGTTTCTCGTCAGTCATCAGATTCGAGTTATCGCGAATTCACGTACCTGGAAATTTCTGGAAGGATTTAAACCAAAACTGGAAGATGAGAGAATTAGCTTACAGATCTAAACTTACAGAAACGGGAAGAAAAAAAATAAGAGTGCTTAATTGAGTAAGGGGTAAAATAAAAGAGATAGGGAGAGAGAATGAGTGATGAACAACATCACATATGTTCATAAATTACATTGTATAAAAAACACGTTTGTGATTTTATCATTCTGCATATTCATTAATTTCAAAATATTTATTCGTGTATTATTTTTGTAGGTCTTCAGGTAGTTCTCAAGTCTATCATCAAGGCAATGGCACCTCTACTCCAAATTGGCCTCTTGGTGCTCTTTGCCATTGTAATATTTGCTATTATAGGCCTTGAATTTTACAGTGGTGCTCTTCATAAAACTTGTTACAATATATTGGATAGATGTAAGTTCATCTTTCTATTGCTACTTTTTACCCTCTATTTCTTATTCAAGATAAGTTTACGATTAATTTATTGAAAGGTTTAAGTTATTATAATTGGTGGTGTGATAAGATTTAAATTTAAAAACCTCGAAATTTTCGACAAGCTTTTATTTAATTAGAATTTTTTTGAAATTTTACTTGTTAATTTTTGTTTACATTTAGAACCCATTCTTTAAAATTAAGTTTTTGTTCCTAAAAGTAGTTTTTTGTGTTTGTTTAAAGACTAAAATTGAAAAAAAGTATTATTATTCTCAATTCATTTTTTTCCATAAAAGGAATGTCTTAAAATCCTCTTCTTAACGGTGGTGTTGGTTTCGAAAATCTAATTCTAATGAGGTTTGTCATTGGGTGCCTCATTACTTTAATTTTTAGTCTATTTAAAAGTATTAAGAATTCATGCAATTTGTAACAGCAAAACGCATAATTTGACTCATACGTTATCGAATTATACTGCATAGAAAAGAAATACGAGGAGTGATAAATAAACATACTGACTTGTTTAAAAATATTATAAAAATCTATTTAAATCAACTCTTATTAACTTTCAACAAATTTTCATTGCCCATCCTCGTACAGTTGCTGATAATTAAATTAAATCCTCAATGAATCTGTTATTTTTGTGTTAATCTCTTATAAAAATATGGAATATATCCGAGTTTTGCATTTGCAGTTATCGATCACACTTTTTCTTCTCTCATTTTATTTTCATGTAGTTATTTTCCCCAAAAATATTTTTCTCATGCATAAATCATTGATAAATTTGTTCTGTCTTGCTTCACTATCACTCTTCGTTATCCTACTATCGTAAAATATAAAATTTTTAGACCTTCAGCAAATCTTCAATAATATTTCAGATATTTACATCACATCCTGCTATTAAAAATCGATCTAAACTTTCATCTAAAACCAATTGCCATCGAAAATGTGACATGCAAGCATTGCCATCAATAACACTGGGAACAATTTTTTTGTTGCATTTGACATGTTGGTGCCTGAAATTAGTTTAGCAAACGAATGCCTATAATTTAATGTTACTGTTGTATTCCAAATTTTTTAACTTGTGTTAAGAACTTCTCTGCAATAAAACACGTCAATTGTAAAATTTCAAAAAAAAATTTGCTACATGCACAACTATGCTTTAAAGATATTTTGTACTTAACTTTTTGTTCTTTATGTTTTTCCTATCGTACGTAACAAAACAATAGGGAAAACGTTTTTAGTGATAAAATGTATGCAATGTTATGATACTAAAAATTGCTATGGCACATCACCCTTCCTTTTTTAAAGGACAATAGAATAATTTTACAGACAGTACAATACTTGATAATTTAATTCATAATAAAATAAGGAAGTAAGGTGATCTCTATAATGGCAATTTTTTTATCATAAGAAAATGTAGTTTTTTCGCAAGTAATTATATTTCAATATTTTTGATATGTTTGTTAGATGAATTCTACCAAATCTAATGTTCCATTTCAGATGAAATTGTTACTGAGGGAGACCAAACGACCCCTTGCTACAAATACAGTGAGGACTCTATGAAAATCCCGACCGGGGCTTACATTTGCGATCCGGATAAAGCACAATGCGAAGAGGGTTGGATGGGACCTAACTATGGGATTACTAGCTTTGATAATATTTTTTTTGCCATGTTGACGGTATTTCAATGCATCACAATGGAAGGCTGGACAGCCATTTTATATTGGGTAAATATTATCTTTTTTTATTATCAATTTTAAATCTTTTTTTTTCCATTAATTATTTTATTTTGTTTAATGTTCATACTTAGTTCTGCCAATTAAAAGACATTTACAAAACAGTTTCAATGTTTTTAAGAAATGTAATGATAATTCCATTATTTTACAAGCTTGGTTTCTATTATTTGAAAACACAACTAGTTTTGCTCTATTACCATGTAAATATAATTTAAAAATAAAATTACTTCCTTTTGATGACTTGTTGATATCAAATTACATAACTCTTTTGGCGCTGCATAAATTAAGTTTTTATATTTTATTTTATAATAGTCGTTGAAGACTCGACCCAATTTTTTCGGTATACCATGACTAATGTTCAATCCCGTAGTCTTGAAATTTTGAATCCAAACCAGAAGACAAGGAAACTCTTGGCTTAAGTATTGGGAGAAATTTCCTTTCATTAAGAACTTTTTGAGGGAACCACGAAAACCTTGCTCGGCAAGGGGACGGCAATGTGACTCTAACCCATGATCCTTCTACTACTGCGGATATTGTACGTCAGCACTATGGTCGGTGCAAGCCGGATGCGGAATTCGAATTGACCAGCCATCGCTGAGATTCAAACCCGGCTCACCTCATTAGAAGGCGAACGCTCTATCCCCTGAGTCATCGCGGTTGCAGTATAAATTATATTTTATTTTATGTTATAACCGTCATTGAACAGCCGACCGAATTTTCGGTTGACCAATGTTCAACTCCGTATCTCCGTATCATGCCACCAGTTTCGTATTACAGTTACGTAATACAAAAGTAACAGTATAAATTACAGTTACACCGAGTAAAGCTTTTCATCAAATACAATTCTGATGTCTGTGGCTATATTAATCGAATAAAGTATGTGAATCTTGAAAATGACTTTTTTAAATCATTAATTAACAAAGATATCCATCTTAAAAAAGTCCCAAAATTTTAATAAACTTAACTGAAGGTTTCACATGCTCAAATAACTTTTTCAAATGCTTATTTTTGTACAATAAAAATGAACCTATCATTTATGTGTCGGAAAAAAGTACATTAACAGCATACTTAACTCTAATACTTTTACTGTAAATAAGAAGTACTATTAAAAAATAAATGTTAAGTACGAATAAGCAGTAATGTAGTTGTTTTTCAGGAATAAAAATTGATGGAGGAATAAATAATAATATTATTAACAGAAAATTATTATTATCTTTTAAGATCCTATCATATATCTTATCTGAGAACATAGTAACCTTAAGGGTGCTTAATCAGCATTTTATATTATTGAAGCTAAAATATTTACATGTTTGATTAGAAATCTTACATTCCTCGTGCATAGTTTGGCTATATAGTTTTCAATACTGTTTCACTTTTATAAATGTACTTGTATATACCTTTTAAAGAGGACGTTTTAAGATATTAAAATATGCAGCGATTTAAAAGAGGATCTATGCATCTATTTATTTATATTTAATTAATTTTCTCTGAAACAATGGTACCTCCTTCGTATATCTATAAATAATTCACAAATTTAAAATTTACATTTAGGAAATATGTCATTTATGTTTACTAAGAATGTGCACATTCTATAACTTAAACAAAATAAATTAGTACTCATTCTTCACATTAGCATTTTATATCTTTTACATATTTACCTGATTAAATTTTATGTTTTTTATGAATTGTTTTATTTTATTTTTTTCACAGACTAATGATGCCCTAGGAAGTAGCTTCAACTGGATCTATTTTGTACCTCTTATTATTCTCGGATCATTTTTTATGCTCAACTTAGTTCTTGGTGTACTTAGTGGGTAAGAATACAATATCTCTAACTATTTTTTTCATTGTATATGTAAATACAAGTTGCGTCAATTTTTTTATTTTTTTTCACTATATAGTATAAATTTTTTAATAAATATGGTGTAATTTTTCCTCTATAATTATCTATGATACAACAAGCATAAACAAAAGTTTCCTAAATGTCAAAAATAAAGTTTTATTTCTAAATAAACTATCCCATAATTTTGTTTTTTATGATTTAACAATTGTTCAAGAAAGGCAATTTTCTATGCATTTATTTAATACTATACACTGAGAAAAACTTCAGTGCATAGTTAGTTTCGAGGTAAACTAAATACATTTTCAATTACTGAACTGTAGTTATTCTGCAAAATATTATGTAAAATTGACAAAAGAAATTGTTTGAAAGAACTAGTGTGAATATATTACTAAAAAAGTGCTTGTTTATTAAACGAATTGTTTTTGCAATGAGGCCATAAACTGATTCTAATGATCATGAAAATATGTGTTGTCAGTAAATAAACAAAAACTGAATAAATAAATAAAACTATAACTGTGAAAAAGGAAACAAAAAATGTGACTGCATGCAATGTAAAAAATTTTAGTTCACCTCAAAACCAAAAATAGTGGGAACTATACTCCAAAGTTTATTTAAAGCGTAAAAACATAGACACGTTAAAAAAAAATTTCAACAACTTTCAAACTTTTTCAGCATTTTACGCTTCCTCAATTTCATTAAATGTATACACATTCCTCTAAAATAATAATAAGTAATAAAGTACCTAATAAGGGACTATACAAGACTATTATAATCGATTGCATATCTTTACGTTAAGCACTGACATGTTATTAGCGTATGACACGGCTAGAATTAGCATCCCCATTTTGAAGCATCATAAAATAAAGCAGTGGCTGTTGTACCGATCTTAGGTAAATTATCTCCACTGCTATTTTGCCAGCTTTTGGCAACAGCGCCTCCTCACAAGAACTAATCCAAGCATTAGGTTGGTTTAGTAGTGGTCTTTTATCCTTGATAGCCAAGGCAGTAGTAATATTATTGAATCAGATAATGTTATTTAACTATATCAAACTTACCTATAACTTAACTATATCTGAACTATCCGATTAACTTTAACCACTTGACCTTAATAGCAAACATCAGTGTAGGGCAGTGTTTCCCAAACTTATGACTTTTGTGTACCCTTTCTAAATTTTTTGTAGCGCTGCGTACCACTAATAAAAAAATGAATGTATTTTTTACTAGAAAAAAATTGCACAAAAGTTAAAAATCACAACTAGCTGTTGACACCACTAATTATTAACCGTTGACTCAGCAAAAAATAGCCAATAGAAAAATACGTAATCGTAACTTTTCATGGCTAGCTTTTTTTAAATAAAATTTTTTTAAATTTTCGTTTGTTGCAAGATATTTCGCATAAGAACGCGTACCCCCGATAAACTGTTCCCGTACCCCTGGGGGTACGCGTACCACACTTTGGGAAACACTGGTGTAGGGTATATCGGGTAATGGCATCTAATCTTTAAAAAAAAGTCTAAATAAGCACGTAATGCACGTGATCAGAACCCACTTTATAATTGGTCGAAATTTGTTTCGGCACAATAGCAAAATAAATGTTATTCAACCGACTGATATCTGTAATAGAAACTGCGATAAAGCAAATAATGTGTGTTGTACAAATTATGTAAATACAAAGAATTGAATTTAAGATATTTAATTGAAAACAACTCTGCATGAAATGTTTATTCTTAGTAATAAGAAGTACTACTTAAAAAAAAGGGGGATTTGAATTTATCTAACTATTAAGAGACCTTTTTTCCCTCTAATCGATAATTTTTATGAAGAACTCGTAAAGAATACGTGTTAAATATTTTTCAACCAGAAATTCTGTGGCATGAAATGCATTTTCAGTAAAATTTTCTGCTGAAGGTTTGTCTAAGAATATCTAAATCACTCCTTATTGTGTATTACGCAGCATCAAACTTTTGATAGTAAGAAAAAAATGAATATGTTCTGTTTTCGAAATCAGTTATAAACTGATTGAGTTGTACTTAATATAATTACAAAATTATGATATTTATGTATGAACTTATCATAAACGTAAACTTCATTCATAGACATCTGTTAAATCTTAAATAACTCTCCGAATTAAATCTCTTTTTTAATGTAATTTCTTATATACTTTCATCTATATTTCAAGTGCTTTAAAAATTTATCTTCGCAGTGAATTTGCAAAAGAGAGAGAACGTGTGGAAAATAGACAAACTTTTTTAAAAATTAGAAGACAGCAACAGTTAGAAAAAGAATTGAATGGTTATGTAGAGTGGATATGCAAGGCTGGTGAGTCATTACTTCTTATTTTCCTCGAATTTTCTGTTTAAATTTTCGAAGTCGATTTTTGGTTCTCAAGAGTTCTTGAACATAGAGTCTAATCTACTTTCCTTCCGACTAAAAAGCTTTTAGTTTTCTTATGTTACAGAACAGGACGTTTTATGAGTTGTTAACCATAATGACACCATTGGTACTTGATAAAGTTCTTCGTACTAAAAACTGTACTAAACACAAAGCAATATTTTATGTTGAGAGTTGGAAATGAAACGATTCGTAATTAAAATTATTTATCGTATGAGATGACTTGATCCTTTACTGAGGCCAGAGGACCCAAATTCAGCAAAACATATGACATTTAACAAGCGTTTAAGAGTCAGGAAAAGAGGGCGTAGCTTAAACCTGTCGAAAATGATCTCAACATTTAGATAGTTAGAAGTTGGAAATCTGTGGTGCTGGCTAGGCAGCAATTGCGATAGTTGTTTTGTTTTATTTTTTTACATTTTATTTTATGACCGGGATTGAACAGCAGAGCCAATTCTGAGTTTACGACTATCAATGTTCATCTCCGTTGGCTTGTATTTTTGAACCCAATCCCATACGACAACTCTTGGATCAAGCATTGGTACAACCTAGCCTTCGCGGAGAACTTTTTGATAGAAGTAATCCGCATTTGTGCTAGATGGGAAGGAAAACCACGAAAACCTCCCACAGTTAACTCTATTGCTGGCAGATTCTAACCTGTGAGGATCTACCTCTGAGGATATTTGTGATAATTAAATGGGAAAGCCTTAGTCTGGCCTAAGTTGTAGTGCCAAAGGAGGATAAGCAGCTTATTATCATTATTCTGAAGTAGCGTAACGAACGCCTTATAAACCACTTAGCTATTCAAAGCAGTAAATAATACACTTTGAGACGGCTGCTAACATGACCTGTTGACTTCAAATCTAATCTCGCTTTCGTTCTGCAAAACGCAATCGAGGACAAAGGCTGAGCACTATAAATATAAATTTTTATTCTAATTTAGCACCATACATGACCATCGTTGCATTCAATGAAAGTGGACTTATGCGTCATCTTTCATTACATTAATTGTTAAAAAAATACTGGAAAAAAGCCTTCACGCAGCACTTTGTTGTAGGAATGTAGGCCAAGGGAATCAGACAGGTTAAATCTCAACAATTTTGTGACCAACGGCATAATTGTGGTCAGCATTCACTATCATGTTAAAAGTGGGTGAGCTTCAGACCGCTACTGAGGATCCAACCAAGGTCCATCATAATAATAGTCCAGTTCATTTAATCTCATTTCTGAACTATAGAAAAAAAAATTTAACCCAAGCATGCATTCCAAATGTTGTTTATTTTGGGAACCACTGGTTTAAACTTTACGGTGTTAAACTGGCTTAAAGCATTGCTGTACGAAATATAATTATTGCTCATAATATTTGTGCAATTGCAAGAATCTCTGCTGTTAAGGAAATTACTAGACTATTTTTAAAAAATGCGACTATAACTTACAAAAGAGTGGTTTTGTTTAAGAAAATATTTTTTTAATATTCAAGACCTTCCAACTTTATTTTATTGTCATTTAATTTATTTTTTATGTTATAAATTATGTTATTTCAATTTTTTATTTACTTTTACTTTATTTTTTAATTAAATGTTTTGTTACATTTCATTTTTTTTTTTTTTTTTTTTTTTTTTTTTTTTTTTTTTTTTTTTTTTAAAAAANTTTTTTTTTTTTTTTTTGCTTTATTTTATTTTTTATTTATTTTTTTAAAGAAAAATATACTCACATCAAAAGTAAGCGTTAGGATTATGTCCAACTTCGAACTTTATTTGAAATTCCAGATTAAGGAACTCTTATTTTCAAAATTTGGAATCAATATAAATCTTTCACTATCAGCTTTGGATTATACGATGCATTTCAAAGCAATTCAGGAATAAAATAATCTTCTCTATAAGAAAGAACCAAATTTCAGATTTATTTCATATTTCTTGCAATACATTTTTATTTCTATTAATTTATATCAATTTAATTTCCAGAGGAAGTAATTTTAGCAGAAGAAAGGACTACAGTGGAAGAGAAACTTCATATCATTGAAGGTAATTCGTTTTATACATAAATTTTAAACAGCATTTAACTGCGAAATTTTCTAAGCTAAAAATCAATTGAACAACTTCTGAAAACAGTATTAATCAATGCACTTTACAATTAAAAAATATGAACAAATAGTATTTATATGTTTTTATTATATTATATAGTTTATATTTAGTATTTATAAATGCTCTTTTACTCAGCTCGAAAGCGTACTGCTAAAAGGAAAAAAATGAAAAATATGCATAGTAAAAGCACAGATGAGGAAGAAGAAGAAGAAGATGGTAGCAAAGATGAGGATCCTGTTGGTCAGTATTTTTCTTATCAATTACACTTTAATGTTAATAGACACACGAAATTTACAACGTGTAAAAAATATTATACAATTGTTACACCATGCAAAAGTTTAATTATTGTCCCCGGTTTAATTTTAATGTTTGATCATTTAAATTTTTTAGACATAAACCTCTTCATTCATATCTGATTTTTTGCATAAAAATAATTAACCACCTGAAAAGTTTCGAAGATATTTTGTTCTTCTCTACTTTAGTATCCGCGTACAATTAGTAATGTATCCCACAAAAATTTATTGAACTCGCTTTTTTAATGAAATTAAATTTAAATTTATTTTTTATCACTTTTATTAATGTTTGACAAATACAAATAAAAATTTTATTAATTTTATATTAAATTTATTTTTAATAAAATGCATAACGCATTTTACAAGATTTTATTTCTATATTTTGAGTAACTTTAAGCAAGCATTTTTAAGCCATTTTATTTCCAATATTTATTTTTTTATAATTATTCTTTGCTTTGTATTTCATTGTAAAATATTTATTTCATTTAATATTAATTTTTTCCTATTTCTTTTAGCTAAAAAGGGAAAACTAAAAGGTGAGTACTTTTAACTAACTGTAATTATTTTTTATAAGTTATTATATTTAATTTGATACACTATTACATACCTTTAATTTTTATTTCTATTAACATTTAATATCATTAAAAAATAATTTTATTTACTTTGAAGGTTTGGCTAGGGCTTCCTATTTTAAGGCCAAAATAAAGAACAAAGGTGCGTGCGTAGCCTTTTGGCGAGTAGAAAAAAGAATAAGGTGAGAACATATTTTTCATTTTCCAAAAATTCTCAAAAAATATAAAATTTAGATTAATAAACAAGTTTCAATGTTAAAAATATAATTATTGCAGTTATAGTGCACTGAGAAAAAAAAGTATGATGTATTGTGATTTTATTACCATAGTTATGGGTTATTTTACCAATAATGTTATTACCATACAGTACGGTAATTTTAATGGATTTTCTTTTCCCCGTGTAAGACATTTCTTTTTTCTTTTTTTTAATTATTGGTTATTTTCATTTTTGATATTTTTCTGATCATCTGTTCACTTCGTCTACCACAAATTTAAAATAAAATTATCGTTTGCGGAAATAATTTTCTATATAGTCTTCCTTAACTTAAACTTTTATGAATCCTGTTTTGTTTTGTTTTGTTTTCTGATGAAATGTCCTTTACTGAGATTTCGCCCTTTTACGTTAACATCCGTAAATAGATTGCAGCAACTGCGCATGCTCGCATTTACTTTAAATGTTAAGTACCTTTACGTGATTTACGCTACAAAGACAAAGCTACAAGTACGCTGTTTATAGCTGTTAAATGTTGTTTTCTCTTTAAGCCTACCTTCGAACTAAAAATATGGGCATTGAATACGAAGTTGAAGAATATTGATGAAATTTAGAAATGAATCGTGTGATCTTACAACCATTGGTTCTTCAATAAAAAAAATTATTTTATTAGTTTTTGCTTAACATTATGACGGTCTAATCGAGTTAGTTCCATAAGAAACTAGATATATTTTCGCCATTTCCTAATTATAAATTATATTTATTTTAACTATACAATTTCGTTGATATTTTTTCACGGGAACATGCGCGTTTCACCAAAACTGACGCATGCGGACTAGAAGTGCGCATGCGCAATTACTTAAAATCTTACGTACGGGAGCGTACTAAAGCTAACATAAATTCGAGATACCTTAAGGCCTGGTTTCTTAGGACAAACGCCTTATCTGGGCGTCAGCGTTAAGTTGACGTTACCCTGACGCCAACAAAATACTGGTTTGTTAGCTCAAGGCCTGGTTTCTTAGAAGAAGCGTCTCAACTGGGCGTCAGCGTTAAGTTGATATAATATTGACGGCATAAAAATACCTTTTTGTTAGCTCAGCGTGAGCAGTCGGTCCAACACAGACATTATCTTGCATTGCGCATGCGTCAATAACGTAAACAAATATTTATTTTGAATTTGTATTGATTTTGTGATTGTCGACCAGTGCTTTAAAGAACAAATAATGGCTTTGTCCAGGAAAAAACACATTATAGCTTAGCTAAATGAAGAAGAAGAGGAAAAAGAAGCTACGTTTAATGTTAAAATTAAAATTTTGGCTGATTTCAATGCTCTGTTGTTGGCTGTTGTCCGCCATTGCTTCTGTTGTTAACGTCACGCACGTTAACGTCACCAATTGCAGTTGATTTGGACGGCAGTTGTCGTTCAAGCTGAGCGTTCGATGTCGTATGCTGTCAAACTCATAAATTAACCAATCAGAGGTAAACGTTCGTTTCAAACTGACGCCGACGTTTCCTAAGAAACCAGGCCTTTACTTGTATAAATTTTGTCTTAATCACAAACGAAGATTTCCGTATATTCCAGATCTCATCATAAGACTTTTCTGTCCAATAAGAATGCACAAACAATACTAATAAACAGACCTAAACATTTGTGTTTCTTATGTTATTTATAGTAATAAATATTTTTATATCTTATTAGTGCGCAATTATTGCTACAATATACTCTATTGAAACTTGATATAATTGATTTGTAAATTTTAAATTAATATAAACTTTTGCTTTTGTTTCAATTAGAATAATTTAATGAAATAATGTATTTGATTTAAAATGAAAATAACAATAAAACTGAATATGCAATATATGAGAGTTAAAATGTTTTAATCTATGTATTAAAAATAGATATTTATAAATGCATATTTTCAGATTTTTTATTCGTCATGCTGTTAAAACCCAAGCCTTTTACTGGTTTGTGATAGTATTAGTGTTTTTAAATACTGTATGCGTAGCAGCTAATCATTATGGCCAACCTGATTGGCTGACAGATTTTTTATGTAAGTATTACTGTAAACAGCTATCTTTTTAATTTTAAGTCTTTATAAATACATTTGAATGATTTTATTTTAGATTTTATAAATTTTTTAATATATTATTGAACGTTGATTACATCAATAAAAATGTGTCTACTCGTAACGTCCATCAAAAAATTTAACAAATTTTATTTATGTAATGAATTAAAAATTATTATTTATTTATTATGAATTTATATTTATGATGAATTTATAATTATGGAGCTTAACCACTCTGATTCGATTGTAAATGTAAAGCTCAACATTGGTGTACAATATTTAGTATTATGTAAATAATCCCATGAAACTGAAGCGGTAAGATATTACATGATTAAAAAATTTCATTCGCTTTAAAAATGTAAGGATTAGAAATAACAGTCGAATAATTTTCAAGACTTGCCAGACGTGGAGAAGAAGAAACGATTCGTAAAAACGGCCTATAATTTGAACAGAAAAAGAACAAGATATAAATGTATGGCTTGTAGGATTCTGCTTAGAAAACCAAAGAATTTCTGCTCTTAAAGTTTCAAAATTGTAAAATAAATAGCAAACAGATGAGGCTTCTAACTGATTAAAAAAAGAATATTTTAAAGAATCATGCATACCAGTTGCAGGAACAACGTGGTGCTGTCTTAGACACAAGTTGCGAAAAACTTGTAAAAATATTTCAGTTCCAATGTGCTGGCATGCAAGAAGAAAAATATTGTTTTCTTGCGGCATGCCTGTTTCCTCGTCTGCAACGCCACCTGTTGAGGAACTTTGTAAATAATTTTCAAAGTTGAAGGAATATAGCTGGTTTTTTGGACAAAGTGCATTTTCTCCCTATTTCTGTTCTAATCTAAATATTTCTTCATATCTGCGGTCATTTTCGAGACACCCGATAAATATAAAATATAAGGTCATAAAAGAATTAATAACTCATTACTTCACCTACAATTCATTAACTTTGTTTATTAATTAGCTAATTTATCACTTCATTCCTTCATTTACCTCCATCCATTCATTTACTACTCAAGAAAATAATAATTTGTAAACATATTAAAATTTCAGTCTTTTTGACATTAAATATTGATTTCCTAAGTAACACATTTTAAATTGGAGCTCGTTTATACAGTAAATATGTCTCTTTTATGTAATTGTATCTTTATTTTACAGACTATGCAGAATTTGTATTTTTGGGACTTTTCATCAGTGAAATGTTTATTAAAGTTTATGCCCTCGGGCCTCGCCTATACTTCGAATCTGCCTTCAACAGATTTGACTGTGTTGTAAGTTTATCAATTTTTATTTTTGAGTATAAACTTACCTCTAATAGCACATGTGTGGATATAATTATTTTCTATAAATCTAGTTTTTTATTTAATGTTGTCGAAGCTGAAATTATTAACCTTAGTTTTACGTTTAGTAAATCTTTAAAAACAAATTATTATTTTTATTTTAAATTTTCTTCAAAAGAATACAAAACTTTAAAATAAAAAATTTTATATGTTAACTTCCGTCGATTTTTATTTATTAATAATATTTTATTATTTTTCATACAAAGTATTCTGTACATCAGTATGATATAAAATGTCTAACAATGATGTGATGTACGAAACTGTTAATCCCCCAAATCATTATCGATAAGAAAATCGAGAGAAAGTTAGATGGATTCCTTCAAACAGCTGTTCTCAAATGATACCTCAAACAGCTTCAAACAGCTGTTCTCAAATGTTCGGTACCTTGGGGTTCCGTGGGAGAGTTAAATGGGTTTCGAGAGCTATTTCTTTTTTAGGCAGTAATTTTTTCAATCTAACCAGTTATCCACTAGTTATTTAATACTTTGGTTGTTTTTATGAAATTAATAAAAATAAAATGCCAATAAAAAAATATAAAATTTAGTTTTTAAAAAATAATTTTTTTAATTACAATATATTGAATTATTTATGAAACGGACATTCATTTATTATAAAATTGCCTTAGTATTGCCTCATCCGGCTTTTCAAATCAAAATAAAATAACTAAATTCGCAAATAAATATGCTTGCCTAATAATCTTTTTGAACGTTTATAGCAATTCTGTTTAGTTTACCTTTCAAAGAAAATCATAATTCTGCCTATTTTATTCATTTTCAAGCTTATGTGTATAGTTGTTACAGTTAAAGTATATAATGCAGTTATTTCATAGAATACCTAGTTATTCCATGAAATAACTGATCGTGTCCGTTAAAGTGTGTAATATGTTATTAATTTGACACTTTAACTAGTTATTCTATGAAATAACTAGGTATTCTATAAATAAACTAATGATAGACAATTAAAATGAAAAAGAAGCAATTTATCTAATTTATGCAGCGTATAAATGGTATTTATGGAAACGTACCATAAGATCATTTGTTACAACAAGGATTACTAAAATGACACTTGGAATTACAAAGAACATTATTTCTAAAACAAAAACATTTTTTGCTGACACACTGGGTTTTACACGAACATTTTTTAAATCCCTGACCAATACCTAAACTTAGAGCTGTAGTAACCGACCGGAGAGATATTTCTACGTCCGGTACTTCTTCGATTTTAATTCATTTTTGTTCGCAGACACTGAACTGGGATCGGGAATATAATTGTTTTATGCGTCCGCTTCTTGTACCCAATTGAAAAAATCCTTCTTCGGTTATTTTTATGATGATAGCTAAAATAGATAAATGCAGTAGGGGTGGAAGGTAAATGTATTTGTCATGCGAGATATATGATATAGATTATTTTACATTTTAACGGGCTGCAGACCGTTATTCTATGAAATAGCTAGTTAAACCATGAAATACAAGAGAGTTTTACACTTTAACTGACACGATCAGTTATTTCATGGAATAACTAGGTATTCTATAAAATAACGGATCTCATACTTTAACGGTAACATATACACCGAAAACGAATTCTTTACTAAACTGGATAAAGCTCCAAGACGGCGAATTTAACTGTGGAACATAAAATCTAATTTAAGATAATTAATGGTAAAACCAAAGAACGTAGGAAGGAAAAGTCTAACTCTTCGAATACGTAACTAAGGCGGAGATCTGCTCGGTGCAGTGCGCTACGCTACGCTATGCCGGAAAAGCAACTTACAGGATGAGCAAAATACTCAGATTTACCATTATGCACAAAGACATACTAGAGTGAGAGTCAGGAAGTATAGTGCGGCATTCAGGAGAACTCCTCCAGACACTCGTCTCGCGTCGTGGCGGGTACTATAGTTAACGAGGAAAGGTCACTACGAATAGGGGTGTGGGGTGAAAAATTTTGTCTTAATCTTAGCGTAGGTCGTCGTGAGTAAACCAATCGACACCTCCTTTCCTCCATTTCACCCCCATTAGAAATGCGCTCTCGCTTGTTACCACAGCAGCAGACAGCCCCAGACTTTCAGTCTGGAGGAGCCAACTACAAACTTCAAAGCCGCACTATACGTCGCCTGTGAACTGGTTGTTGGACAACTCTACATGCACTACATATAAAAATGAAACGGCGGGTACACTGCCTTCCGCCATTTCATTCTTTCTTTCTATATCAAAATGAGTTAGCAAATTTAATTAACAGGGATGATATAAGTGTATACTCCATGACATATCTTAATTAATAGTACAGAACTGTTCATTGATAGTGTAAAAATGCAGAACAAACCATAAACAAAAGGAGAAAACCTATCTAACCCAACCCAAGTAGTGGCTGGGAAGAGAAGTGGGTGCAAACCCGTCTCACGAACCTGTTGTGCCCTTAAATGTTGTTTTTTTTTCCTTATACACAGATATCGCATCCAACCTTAGAGGACTGGTTTACATTATGCCTATGCCAGCTAGAATTCTTCCCCTATGTATATTCTTTGGTAAAACGATGATAAAAATTTATTCCCATAATTAAATATTTTCGAAATAAAGTAGCATTTTTAAGTTTTTACATTCAGAATTATCCTTAGATACTTTATTTATTAAGTCGGGGTTCTACCGGAAGAAGTTTGATCATCTAAGGTTCCATAGACGAAAAATAATCTTGGCACTGCTGTCTTAGAGAAGACAAAGAAGAATTGTCTAACCAATAGATTCTTCAGCCCTATTTGACATATGATATTCATTCCTTTCTGCCTACTGACACATATAGCAGCTGTAACGCTTTGCAACTGGGGAAAATACGATTGGACTGGGCATTCTTTAGCAATTTAAAGTGCACAAAAACAGCGCAGTTCCACAAATTTTGCTACTTTTTTGAGAGACTTGAAAGAGGGCTCAAACTAAGATTAAAAATAAAATTAACAAAATGAAATTTTTTGTTTTTGTAAATTTTCTATATCTTGTATTATTATTATTATTTAAGTTTTTGATTATTGATTATGAATAATTTTCAAATTTATTACTTGTGAGTAAGGTAATTTTGTGTTTTAGGTTATTTGTGGAAGTATATTTGAAGTCATATGGTCCAGTTATAGAGAAGGTTCTTTTGGCCTTTCAGTGCTCAGAGCATTACGACTTCTCAGGATCTTTAAAGTGACAAAGTAATTACCTTTTTCATTATTAAATAAATTTTTAACTGATAATCAATTTTCTGTTCATTCTTGATTTAAAAAAAACTAAAGAAGCTTCAAAAAATGTGCTAAAATACCATTCTAATGAATTGAGAGTATACTGAAACACCAAGAAGGTAAACATCATTGAAATCCGTTTTACTACCAATTTAGTGGCACTCGAAAATGCACGTGATGTTTCATAATGACCACTCTTAATATGTATTTTTAGAATCCATGACAAATTGAATTTCAGTAGTCTAATATAAAAAACAAATGTACACATTCGGAATAATAAATTTATGTTTAAACAAAGAAATAACGGCTATCGAAATCTAAAGAATCACCACTGAGAAAAGCAAGACAAAACCCACAAAATCTGTTTAATTTTAGTAATAAACAGAGATGAATTAAATGGTAAGTATTAAAAACGCGTCATAGTGTTCTCGTGTAATCAAATTACTTTTTTTGTTTTCTATCCTACCTTCCTCATTATTGATTCGACAGATTTCGTTTTACATTTTTGTTTATCTTAACTCGAATATCTATTTCCGACGGCCATGACATGTTTTAAATCTTAGAAATATGAGAGTTTTCAAAATACTACTTATCATGCTATTTCATTAAGAATGTACTTTGCTATTATTTTGAAAACGCTAATGCCTGTATGTATTTGTTCTTTTTCAACCAACAGGTACTGGGCTTCTTTAAGAAATCTAGTTGTATCTCTTCTGAGCAGTATGCGTTCCATTCTGAGTCTGTTGTTCCTTCTCTTTCTTTTCATTTTGATATTCGCACTTTTGGGAATGCAACTTTTTGGAGGAGCGTAAGTAACATCTTTCTTTAAATACTAATACATTTATTTACTCATCCGGCTTTTNTATATATAGTATTTAAAACTAATTCAAATTTGTTTAACTGAATGTTTTCTGAACAATCCAAAAATTAAGATAAATTCGTAAGTCTATTAAATAATCCCACTAATTACATAATCTTACTAACTAACGTATCACGACTAGAAATTAAGGCGCATAATACTATTCTCCATAGTGCAAAAAAAATTCTATTATATTAAGGAAAATTTCTGGCAGCATAGTTGTCAGAAATTGTCCCTGTGCTAACATTAACATAACACATTGACAGAAATTCCCTAAAACAAAACACTACTATCTATAACAGTGATTTCCAACATACATGAGGCAGGGGGCCACAATTAAAAATGCAAATCAAATGGCGGGCCGCAAACTTTGTCTAATTTTTATGTAGGACTCTTTTATGTTTGAAGGAACGTTAAATATTACTGTCAGATTTTTACCAAGTCGTGCAAAACAAAAGTATTGAATTACAAATTAAAATAAGAAGTAAATTTTTAAAAATATTTAATTGTTATTAATAATATTTTTAAAGATATTAAATAAATAATAAAAATTCGGGCTACAATAACTTTAATGTGCACCTATGTATTAAACAATTTATGTGGAACAGATATCTAATTGTTAAGATATAAAACTTTAAAAAGGTTAGCATTAAAACTTTTGTACTAGCACGCAAAAGGTTCAATGAGAAAATTGAGGCTTGTCAGCTGCAACCACCAGAGAATAGATATTTACATTTAAAATTTACAAATGTGTGTGTAAATATTTTCGTCCTTAATGAGTGGTTTCAAAAAAAGTTAAATCGGAGAATTTCTCCCTAAAAATTTTTAATACACACATGCTAAATTATATTCACTAAATACAAAAAAATGAAATAAAAAAGAGCAATATGCACAATTACTTTTGTATTTGAATAAATATTTTCTTGGATGCAGAACCTGAGAAATGAATTTTTTTCCACCGTTGGTATGTTAAATTTCACAGAAACGAAGAAATTAGGTTTTTATTAACGAGAAAAGTATTTTAAACCCATATAGAGTTTTTACAAAAATTGTAAGCAAAAAATGACAACTAATATCAATAACAACTAGGCTCACGGGCCACAAAAAAAGGTTCCGTGGGCCGGATGCGGCCCCCGGGCCGCCAGTTGGAAACCCCTGATCTATGGGATACTGATATTTTCTGTTAGTCAGGGCACGGCATAGAAATTTGGCACGAAGGTAGCTGTGCACCCTCTGATTTGAATAGTGAACTAGATTTTTAAAATTTTGATTAGTTTTAAAATTATTCCCTTTTTGAGACATCAAAAAAAATCTTTGTAGAATTTTAGTTTTTTTTTTTCCTTCTTTTTTTTTCATCGTTAAGTTCAGATGCACCGAAACGGGATTCGAAACCAGGACCTTCCTGGTATGAAGCCAACTACTTGATCTTGTCCATACAGATAGGTCGGCATCTGTATCAATGTGTCAAATTGTTTAATGCCGCATTGATACTAAAGATTTTCATATTCGAAACTGAAAAAATCTGCACCCAATAAATAGGAGTTGCATCAATTTTTACAGCTTTTACTTAACAGAAGAAAGTTCTCTTTTGACACATTATCAAATATTATCCATTTTCCAATCGCGAAAATACTAAAGTCAGTCACTTATTGTCAGTCACTCGCGAGTCACTTATTGTCGACAGTTGCTTGAACACGGCAGTCTTAATATGCAATTAAGTAAATTCTACTCATAGAGACACTTATCTATGATGCCAAAAAATTTAAGCACAATTTGAAAAATGATCGAAGTCTTCACGCTACGATTTTATGGATTTTTTTTAATCATAACGTCATAAAACACGTGACCATTGTGGGTACAAATAATTAGCCATTAATCTCTGTTGTAATTGAAGAGTTCTGAATAACAATTTCTTTGAAAAATATTTTATTGTAATCTTATGTAATTATACAATATATATTAATTTTTTCAAATATTTAAATATTTCAAGTCTAAGGGTAAGTTTATAAGTACTTTTTTTGTAAGAAGGTCCCTTGTAAAACAATCAACGGCAACACAATTTTAAAGAGTAAACTTAAAAAATTCTTTCTTTGCAAGCAAATAAAATGCAAGAGGAAGAGTTCTATGAAGCGAGCAATTTAAATTAATTTTAGGAATTTATGGATTTTGATTATTGAAAATTTTCGTGTAAGGAAAGTAGATAAAGTATAATCTTTGTTTCCTATTGTCATTGTATAAAGCCAAATTATCCGAATTCCCCAATGCGTCCTTGTGAGGCCTTATCAATTCAGACCATTACTTTTAAAAAAATATTTTAAGATGAACGAGTCGATTTTTTCAAAAGCTTACAAACCCGTCTTACTTTTACTTACTTACTTTTATGATAATATACTTGCTGTTTCATTAAATAATCACATTATAAAATAATCCCAATAAAATATTAAATTGCATGTTTAATTAACTCAAAAATAATTTTTTAAGCATTATTTTAAGTAGTATACTTGGAACAAAGTAAATAATGATTACTTATCAACAGTTTCATAGTTAGCTTAAATTCAGCAAAAATTTAATACTAACTCTTTTCTTTATTGCGATCAATGTACTTTTCAAATACCAATTCTGACATTTAGAATACGTTATCCATATTTTATTGCCATCCGAGTATTAATAGGCTTGCATAACAAATCTATATCATTACAAATCACACCCGTTTCCATGGCCACTTTGCTCGCTTTCCCCTAAGAGTGTTCCATTAAATATGTATATATTTTCTACGAGTAAATATTTGTTACTCTCATATTTTTAATAGGATTTCGCATGATATGAATTTTAGTTTTTTTTTTCATAATTTATGGATAAATTCCATAATTCAAAATTCCATCTTAGCCTTTTTCTCTAAAATGAAATGTATATCTCTTAAAGCCACGAAACGTTGTTAATACAGAGTTGTTTTTATAGAGAATGCAATAAATAATTTTAAAAAAATATTAGTTTCAAATTCTAAGAAACCTTATAAAAAAGCTCTTCTTTAAAGTTAGCTTTATTTTTAGGCAAGAATGTTTTATCTTTAAAAAGAAAAAATTGCAATCGACATATTCTTCAAAAGTCCATTAAAATATATAATCAATCGGTAAAAAATGCAAAATTTTAACCTATAATTCCATAAATTTTGAATTTTTCTTCACCTATTTTACATCCGCACCACCACATTGATATTTATACTTATTTCACTTGATTATTTCCATTTTTTAATTTTTTTTATATTATTTTAATAATTTTATTTGATTTTTCCTACTTATTTTTAATCTTTATTTTGTTAGATTAATTTACCTATGCTGATGATAAATTCCTTACTTTTCTATTATTTTGAAGGTTCAATTTTGAAGATGGTACTCCACCTGAGAATTTTAATTCCTTTCCTATCGCCTTGCTCACTGTATTTCAAGTAAGTTTAATTCGCTAATCTATGTTTATTGAGCTTAATATTTATTAGCTCAATAAATATTAAGTTCATATTAAGCAATAGAGCAATTTACAACTAATGATTACTTATAACCGACCGTGGTTACAATTGTAACCGCTTCCTTATTATGAACTGTTTCTTCGTGAGCTTCTGAAAAGGTCATAATAGGACCCATAACGGCGTCAGACGACTTTCCGAGAAGCGATTTTCATGAAATTTTAATCCTTATGTTGATGTACCCTAACCCCCCAAGAAGTCTATCACCACATTTACATGACCCCTGTTATGTATAACACTTTTAAACTTGTACATTTCGATGAAAAATAGACTGAAATGCATTTTTAAAAGAAATATCTAGCTTTAGGAGCAAAATTAATTTTAGATTTGAAATCTCCTCTCCCGAATTAGACAAGATCAGTTGTATAAATGCAACTCTCAGAATTTTTAAGAATAAGCACACAAAAAATATGAAATAATAAAACATGTAACACCAACATCAAAAACGTCACTCGTGAATTTTGTTTTAATTAGAGCCCAATTTATGTTGTTGTTATTGCTAATTCCCATCTGGTCTGACGCAGTCAGACCAGATCTATAAATCCGTTGTCATTTAGGAAGTCAGAAACTAAAAGGGGAGAGGATTGAATGTCGTTCCAGTCCAGCCCTAAACAATTCAAGATGTGCTCAGGTGATGCCTGGTTTTGTTGGCATTTAGGGCAAAGAGAAGAGATCTTTTGATTAGTAGAAAATGTGAGACTTTTCAGGTGTCCGCTGGCCAGTCGGGATAAGCAAGTGTTGGTCTGCCTGTCACCGGAAGAGATAGAGAGAGTCTTGGTTTTTTTGCTTTATACCAGTAATGAGTAGGTGGAAGCAGCCACTTTTGTTTGTTCTGGGCCTTTTGCCTTGCGAAAAGTTCAAGGTATGTAAGCTCTGAGGTGGAGGGGACTGGATGGTCTATCCCTTCTTTGCAAGAGTGTCAGCCAACTCGTTTTCGTGGATATCGACGTGGGACGGGATCCATTGAAAGTGGACCTCATGCTGCTGGGAAATGAGCTTTACTTTTTTTAAGATCGAAAAACTGGCTTTATCTTCAATGAGGGCTCAATTTTTGAGGTGTTGAATTGAACTACAGCAGTCAGATCGTAACCAAGTATTTCCAAAGTGCCCTTCACTCAAGATTTTCTCTAGTCCCGCCCAATTTATTTTAGAAGAGAGCGAGACTGACTTTTGTTTGAAGTGGTTAGAAATTGTTTCGGATGCACTTAAAACAGCTTAAGAAAGAATATGTTTTTTTAATTATATTTTTTATTTCCCAATAGTTCTAAACAACAGTTTTAATTAAATCACTGATGATTCTGCTAATTTAAACCCAGACCGCTATCCCGAGTAGTAGATTTGTAGAGTGCGACGAGCTTTTTGCGTTTACTTATAGCTCTGAATTTCCGTTAATGTAGCTTAAGGTTGAGGCTTGATAGATAGCAGGAGGTTGCAGTAAAAAGTCAGAAGCCAAGTCCCAAGTTATTAGGAAAATTCATTATCATTTTTTCATTATTTGTTACAGATATTAACAGGAGAGGATTGGAATGAGGTTATGTACAGTGGAATTCAATCTCAAGGAGGAATACATGGTGGAATGATATATAGTTTATATTTTATAATTCTAGTGTTGTTTGGTAATTGTATCCTTTTATAACATGTGATATTGACATTTTTACGTACTTCAGTAACATATATGATGCGTAAAATTCTTATGTTATTTTATCACAAGGAGTTAAATATTTTCAATTTCTTAGTTTATCCTGTTTAAAGCAAGTCTCTTCATACACATGTTCATAAAAAATTATGATGATTCTATGCTTATAATTATTTGATATTTAAAAAATACAGATACAGTCAAATCGAATCTTTTTTGCATTTCAAGATGCAAAGATACAATCAAATGCATTATCAACTACAAAATTAAACAATTTTGCAAAGATACATTCAAATCTCTTTTACAAAAACAAAAACATGTAACAAACACGCAACAAAAATTATACGAAAACATTAAACAGTTCTTTCCGACTAAAATAAATTATTTAAAACAAAAATATATCAAACCGTATAAACCTACATGAAAACCAATCAGCTGTTAATTAAACTTATAAAAAATTTCAGACGGGTAACATAAAATAAACTACTACTTTTCATAGAACTTTTAAAACGGGATTTCAACAAAGAAAGTAATTATTTACTAATTTTTTCCAATAAGTTTTAAAAATCTTATACCAGGTTCAAACATACCAGTGTGTTTAAAACAAAGCTTAAAAATTCATGTTTCTAATCTTTATCGATTATAATCCATAGATATTATAAATAAATTTATCAATAAAGGATTAGTATGCACCATAGCTGTATATTCTTTGTGAGGAAATTTTGAAGTTACAAGTAAACCGCATTGTAACGTTTCCACACAAATGTCATTTCCGTTACAACAGCATTTTTTAAGACACATGTTACCTTATGAAAATATAATTTTTTTACTTTCATAAGAGACTAAATGTCGGCTGTTTGTCTCTAAGTTTTAAACTTTTTATGAAAACAAAAAAAAACATTCAAAAATATGCTAATGACATCAAAGTTTGATGTTTACATTATCATTAAATGCAAAAACATCTGATAGTAGTAAACACGAGAAATTTAATGCTGTCAAATCTTCTATCAAACTGAAATCTAACGTAATTGGGTATAATATAAAAAAAAAAACACAACTGCTTCCACTTAGTAGGAATAACATTTACCATGACGCAATGCTAAATTCAATGCCACTATCCACATAAATGCCACTATCCACATAAATCAATTATTAATCAAAAATCGAATATCAATTACTTTTCGTTATAATGCAATAAAATCTGGCGAGCAGCTATTTAAACGATCAAACACTTCGTTTGTTTATTTGTGGCTTAAAGTTTGGCTCGCAGAAAATGCCGTTCATGGGTTAAATTTCGTAGGAATAACACAACCTGTGACGTAGGCTATAGTATACCCAATTAATATTTGAAGCAATTTTAGGGAGTTTGATTATTCTATCGATTTAAAAATCAGTTTCTGAAACATAATGGTGGTCCTAGAGTATGAAAAAATAAAAACATTCCTTTAAAGTTTTGAACAGTTTGTAATACTTCAAAGAAAACCACGCAGCACAAAAAAATTTTTAACACATAAAGGAAACGTTTTGAGCTGCTTTGGTTATAATTATTACTGTTCACAAGCTGTATTAACCTATGCAAAAAGTTTTCAAGCAACACCCTTCACATGTATTTTATATTTTCCATTAATTGAAAGAAACATGTATAGTAATTTATAAAAAAAAAACTATAGATTTATTTTTTCATAATTATGAAATCACACATTTGTGTTACGTCGAAATTTTCTTAACTCCTTTTGAAAAGATACTCTGTTAAATGTATTTTTGGCCATTGCTGTTGATAATTTAGCCAATGCTCAGGAGCTCACTCTTGCACAAGAAGAAGCCGATGCTGAAAAGGAGGTAATCAATTCCATTTAAAAATTAAAAACTTTCCAAATGCCACTGTCCAACATAAAAAATATCTTAGATAAAAATAAGAGTTTCTTGCATTTTTTCTAATTAAAATGACGAATCTGTAACTATTTTTTATTTACTACGCACTATTTTTCCAAAAGTTATGCTATTTTATGTATTTTAATAGCAACCAATAACAACTAATCAGTAAGGAAAATGTTCCTGCATTGAAATAACCCATCGCTAATTTGAAAATTTTGGTGAATTCGGTGAAATTTTCGGCTATGAAAGCCGTAATTACCTTCTTGAAGTTTCGTGACTCTAGATGCATTAAGAAGTGATTGATAAAAATACTCACTACTTTCATTAGTTCGGTAACTTTAGCTGCAAAACTGGTACGTAATTGATTATTTTGGTACTGATAGATAAATCATATACCTTTTGTTTATTCAGAATCATCTAGCTTCATCTTAAAAGCAGAAAACACGCTCAAATTTGCTGTACGTATAATGAAGCGGCACAAGCTTTAATTGATACGTATAGCTTTAAATTATATACTAATCAAAGCAAAAGAAAATAATTGATGAGTTTTTGATGAGTATATCAAGATTAAACTTCGATTTTTATTTATTAACTGATGAAGAATATTTAAAAAAATTTTGCAGTATTTTATAAAAACAATTGACCATCTTTTGATGACGTTTCTAAAAAAACATGATCGCGAACTACTTTTTAAGTTATTTTTTTAATGTTCGAAGCATAAAGTTAATACAAATTTTTTTTTGCATTTCTGAAATTGATCTAAAATAATCTAAGTATATATTCTGAACTTTTTAAAACCTGCTACTTTTAATTTAAAATAGTCATTAATCTGTCTTGCTTTTCTAGTTTTACTAGTTACTTTTGAAAACATATATTTGTTTTTATCTAGCCTAAATGTAATGGAAGTAATTTGTTTTAACCTAGCCTAAATGTATGGAAAGTAATTTGTTTTCATCTAGCCTAAATGTATTGAAATTAAAACGTTTTCATCTAGCCTAAATGTATTGAAAGTAAAATGTTTTCATCTAGCCTAAATGTATTGAAAGTAAAATGCTTTTATCTAGCCTAAATGTATTGAAAGTAAAATGTCTTTATTTAGCCTAAATGTATGGAAAGTAATTTGTTTTCATCTAGCCTAAATGTATTGAAAATCATTTGTTTTCATCTAGCCTAAATGTATTGAAAGTAAAATGTTTTCATCTAGCCTAAATGTATTGAAAGTAAAATACTTTTATCTAGCCTAAATGTATTGAAAGTAAAATGTCTTTATTTAGCCTAAATGTATGGAAAGTAATTTGTTTTCATCTAGCCTAAATGTATTGAAATTAAAATGTTTTCATCTAGCCTAAATGTTTTGAAAGTAAAATGTTTTTATTTAGCCTAAATGTATTGAAAGTAAAATGTTTTCATCCAGCCTAAATGTATTGAAAGTAAAATATTTTCATCTAGCCTAAATGTATTGAAAGTAAAAGGTTTTTATCTAGCCTAAATGTAAAAGTAAAATGTCTTCATTTAGCCTAAATGTATTGAAAGTAGTTTGTTTTTACTATCGTAGAGAGAAGCGCAAGCAGAAAAGGAAAAAGAGATGTTGGGACTTCATGCTCCAGAAGTTAACATATGTCCCCCTTCCCCTCAAGTCAATTTAGGCGATATTTCTAATGGGTAAATACATAATTTATTTTTATTTATAACTGTAACTATTTCCAAAATTAATCATAATAATCCTTTTAATCTCTATTGCAGGGCCAAAGAAAATTCATTAAATGTAACATTGGGTGATACATTAAATGATAAAAAAGATACCACGGATCTCTCTGATGAAGGTATTAAATTATCTATTAATATAGCATAAAATTCTTAAGCAATTTTATTTTTAACTTCGACGTTCTAACGTTTGCTTTATTGTTATATCTCAGAAACTTAACAATGCTATTCAAAAAAAAAATTTCCTCAAAATTGTTAGAATAATTTACGCAAAAGTTTTCCCTATTTTTTTTTTTATTTTTATTTTACATAAAAACTTCTCAATAGTTTTACATTCTTTGGATAAATATACATAGATTCAACGATTTCGAGATCTTTAATGTTGATTTCCTTATTTGTTATTATATTCAACTCATTTTATGACATTGTTTGATTTCTTTACCACTTAAAAACGGACCTTTTAAATGATTTGCATCGTCCTAATGATGTCTTAAAAACTATTTTAATTGTGTTACTGCTTCTAAAACATTTTTCATAATGGTAATAATGTCATTAAAACATTTTAAATCACGTTAATAATACTATTAGCATGATTTAAAATGTTATGTATTGATATGAATTAGAGGTCATGTTGTTATAGAATAAACATCGTCTTGGTAGTTGAAATAAGTTGTTAGGTAGTTGTTAATAGCAACTATTGAATTAGAAAATTGCTGGCAAATAATCATACAAATAAAAACTAATGTAACATTTAAAAAAATATTTGTTTACAAGAAAAATGTAAATATCTTATAAAGTATTTCCTGTCTCAAGAAGGTATTGTTGTTTGTTTTGGCAATAAATAGATATTAGAATAAATTTATTATTAACTTGATACAGATACATTTCTAAAATATAACTTTTCTATTACTTTAATAATTTCATTCAGATGAGGAGAAAGCCCAGGTGGATGAAGATGGTGATGATATCGGTGGCCCCAGACCAATGCTTCCATATTCATCAATGTTTATTTTTTCGCCTCATAATCCGTAAGTTACAAAAATCTTTATATTACTCATGCTGCTTAAAAAAGAAAGCTTTAAAAGAAAGCCATTTGGTAATTTTGTTACGCAGATCAGTCCTAGAATAGGCCACCTCTTGGCGAACTTTTGAAATCTCGCCAAGTTAGCGGTTGTTGCTGGGAACAACGTTGCTGTTTGATTATTAAAAAAAAGAAAAGAAAAAGAACAATTTTAATTATTACAAGTTTATTAAAATATTTTTCTAAAGAATAAAAAATAACTTACCTTCACTCTTAATTTTACTTTACTCTCATTTGTTCTCCAAATTTAGAGCATTTATACTTTTTCCAAATTACATAATTTTGATTCATACACCATTCCATCATCGCTCTCTTACCTTTTGCATTCAATAAAGTTAACAATTCACTCGTCCATTAGCTCGCCATTTTCAACCGGCACTGCACAAAAAAATTAAATAATAACGGTAATGAATAAAATAACTGTTAAAAAAATTAGATAATAACGATGATTCTAACAGCAAGAGATCAGAAGTATAAATGGCGAAAAAATAAACCGTTTTACCTCTTTTCTAACGAAATCCAACTTTCACGTAGGTATACATATCAAATAACCAATCAGGTTTAAGAATTTCGGTTGTGTGATGGTGGTGTGATCGGACGTTCAAAATAGTTTCCCGGAAATATTTTTTGGAAACCAAGTTTGGCGAAATTTAAAAAACTTGCTTGGCGATATTTAAAAAAATCGCCACGGGGTGGGCTATTCTAGGATCGCCCCGAAAACCCATATTTGTATTCACAACTCACTTTGAACATGCAATATTCTTTTGTTTACTGGACTCATGTGTGACAAAATAGTAAGAAATTTGTTTTTAATATGAAAATATTGACATTTTTATTATTTAATTTTTAGCATTCGTCGTGGTGCTCATTTCGTTGTGAATATGCGTTATTTTGACCTCTTCATTATGATCATCATTTTATTAAGTAGTATATCATTAGCCGCCGAAGACCCTGTGTATGAAGATTCTTACAGTAATAAAATTCTAAATTATTTTGATTTTGCTTTCACTGGAGTGTTTGCTGTAGAAATGAGTTTAAAGGTAAGTTTCACGGCTTATTTTTATTTTTTGGCAGCTGTAAACTGAAACAACTATAATGTAGCTCGACCTAACTTGCCAATTTTTTTTTTTTTTTTACAAAAAATTGCTTTTTTGTCATATTGAAAACCCTTTAATTAAATTGCAAAAGAATCAAATTCCTCCTCTAATGTTTTTTTTTTTTTTTTTTTTNTTTTTTTTTTTTTTTTTTTTTTTTTTTTTTTTTTTTTTTTTTTTTTTTTTGAGGAACTGACCATACCCTTAAAAACTGTCTAAAACTGTGAACTTCCAAAATGTGTCCTTGGTTTAAGGTTTAGATTTCTCATGTTGATATATTCAATTATGATACCTTTACGAATACAATTTAATAACATTCGTTTTCTTCAAACTGTATTTTAATTTTTTAAAGAAAGTTTGTTTTCCAGGAACAAAACCTAATGAATCAATTTTATGAATCGTTTTTAAAATGAAGTCATAACGCATTCACATTAGGGTGCTCAAATGAATATTTATCCGAGGAAAAACAAAAGAATCATAATTGAAATGTAACGAATTACTATTGAAGAAAGTGTGAAAAGAAGCATCAAAACTCTAAACTCAGTTGCGCGAGAGCCCATAGAGAGCCAAGGCCTACTGTGCCCATCTCAGTTCTCTTGACCTTGGGCTCTAGGGTGCAGGAGCAGATATTCCGGTTAAGTGGTCAGCCGAACTCAAAACCCCCAGTGTTTAGTTCCCAAGCTTGCTTGGTACTCATTTATCGACCCACTGAGGGGATGAAAGGCTGAGTCAACCTTGCCCGGCCCAAGTATCGAACCCAGGACCTGTTGCACAGGGAGCGCGAAGCGCTACCACTTAGCCACCGGGTGTCAAGAAACATCAAAGCTTGCTTCATTTCTTTAAAATATTAAGAAATTTTGAAAGGATATTTAAGACTCACCTTGAAGCTTCATCAGGCAATTAATCTGGTTATGAAAATTTTAATACCGGATTCTTCACTGATGGTTTGTCAGATTTTGTTATTGTTTTTATTTTCATATTTTGTTCCTTAAAGTGTAAAATTGACTGCATTTTTGATGATTCTTCTGAAAATAGACATTAAAGGTTATCGCTACAAAGTACCTGAAAAAAAAACGATAATATATTTTCAGAAAAATATTTAATGTTAGATCTTTTTAAACAAATTCATAAATGTATTCTAATTTCTTAGTTTTTATGTAAATCTAAATTATAAAAATAATTATTTATACATTACATTTCTTAAATATTAATACTTATTAAATATCTAATAATTGTTATCTTTTATTAATTAACTAAACTTATCTTTTAAATAAGAATACTGCATCACTTTGTGAAAGTTAATCTATAGTTTTATCTAACATTTTTTATCTGTCACATTCAACTTAAACTAAACAACAACAAAGACTTACGCGACTTGAAACGTAGTGACTACAATATTACAATAACATGACAACGTAAATCAGTTATGAATTGGCAAGAAAATCATCTCCATTTCTTAGTGTGAAAAGAAATTAAATTTTTCTATACAAAAAATTAACTTTCATCAGTGTTCCACCCCGATAATGCGAGGTTTCATTTATCTTTAGAAGCACGAACGAAATTATTAGAGCTTGGTTAGGAGGTATTGTCACATCTTTCTCATAACCCGACCTTACACCATTGTATTATTATGAAGCTAACAAAACATTTTAAATGGCAAAATTTCAGGAATAACGATGACATCAAATCACAATCGGTTGAATTTTTTTGCTGAAAGGAACTTTTTCTTTTTAATGCTCTATGAGAGTGGAATCATAAAGTTATTACAGAGATGGAAAAAAGTCATCGAACAGAATTGAAGTTATGCAACTCCTTAAAGTTCATTTTTTGTCCAAAAAAAGGATGTTCTACAAAAAAAATTTAATCGAATTTGATGCCATTTATTAACTAAAATATTGTATTAGGATTCTCGATTATTACGATAGTATAAATATTTTTTAACTAGCAGTGATTTGTTTGTTGTCTTAATATTAACATAAAAATATTAAGCATTTTAATTAGACTTGTTTTCCTGTCTCAAAAGCTACAAATACCATCAAAATAGATTTCAGACTCTCTGAGACATCCATTCGAAGGACCCTCAATTTTTCATTATTAGCATAAGTAAAAAGAATAAAAATAGATTGTCTATATGAATCGGTCTCAAAATTGAGGGTGGCAAAAGACTAAAGCCAAAGACTTGGGCCAAAAGTGACCCAAGGCAGTACTTAAAAATTTCATTACTTAAAATTAATTAATGTCTATTGATAAAAATATTTCGAATTCTATATGCTTCCAACTCTAAATTTCAGTTGAAATACTTAAATCGAAAATTAAATAGAAAAAAAAATTATAACTGCGGCAAAAGTTACAGAAAACACAATATTTTATATTTCAGTTATTTATAGACACACAAATAAGCTAAATTATCACAGGCAACAACACATTGTATATTTAATCCATTACAGTTTTAAAAATATAATATAGATTTTGAAAAAAATACCTTCTATTGTCATTACATTCTGTGCAAAATAATGAAAATTATGTTATTTCAAATTAGATGAAACAAAGTTGACTTTTTCATTAAAATGTTTTTGTTAACACGTAAAATTCCTTAAAACCGTCTGTTATGGAGAAGCAAAAGAATAGTAGACAAAATCATGGCAATATTATAAAGAACGCAAACGATTTTAAAAAATTAACGGTTATTATGTTGTATTTCTACAAGTTTACTTTTTCAACGACTTAATTTGAATTAGGAACTACTATTTTTCTCTTAATCTCATTTTTGATTTATGCAATTTTAAGCACAATTTACTCTAACATTGTTGTAAATTTGAATTTTAGGTTGTGGATCTAGGTATAATCTTCCATCCAGGTTCTTATTGTAGAGATCTATGGAATTTATTGGATGCTGTAGTTGTGATATGTGCTTTAGTGGCCTTTGCCTTTGCGTAAGTTATTAAATGCCTAGTATCATTAATTATATCAAATAATTTCATTTAATATAACAAATTAAAAACCATTAAAAATATTTTTATGCTAATAAATATATTAAGTCTAGGTAAAGAACAAAAAATTTATATGAGCGTGTTTACAAAAATTACTTATTTTAAGGCTATGTGTATCCTTCAACGGAACAGATAGAATTTAAAGTGCAATTAAACTATTAGTTTACGTGAATGTTTTTTTAAAATCATGTAAGCTATGTATTATATGTTTTAAAAATTACATAACATATAAAACAATGAAAATGTAACAATGTTATTTAAAAGTTATAAGTGCTAAAACGTACCGAAGTTATGGCAAAAATAGCTTGTGAAAAAGTTTAAAACTGTGAAAAATAAAATGCCTCTTATGAACGTTTACTCAAATATCGCGTCAACATATAGAATGCATAAAACTAGCAATATAAATAATTTTTCATTTATTGTCTTAATCAAAATTTCCGTAGAAGAAAAAGAAAGTTTAAATATTTAAATTTGTAAAAAAAATTATTATTGAATTTTTATGAGTAAGGTATCAAACTATGATATCCCATAGTTTTTATGTATATAAATATTTTTACAGTATCTTCAATTAATATAAAAATTGAATTATGGACTAGGCAAATAAAAGAATCAGAAATATGAAAGGATTACAACAGCAATGTCAGGATATAAGATATCAACATGCATCAACACGCACGTCCTTATCAACACGCATTTTCATGATCTTTCTGATACAATTCGTCATAACTACTACTAATCTTATAAATAGAATCTGTATTTACTTGTTGCCTTTTCTTTTATCCAGATTACAAATAGTATTTGCTACACTTAAGTATTAAATATATATAATAGTATTGTAATAGTATTGCTAACAACATTTTATTGTTGGAACATTACCTATGGTGATGTATGGGATGCTTAAGGGTTAGGTTTGTCGCAAGTTTGTGAACATTGCGAAGTTTATAAAATAAGTTATTATTCGAGAGGCTGTCAGGAAACAATGAGTCAATTTAATAATGTACTTACTCTGTATGTATAATCTACACTCTTCGAAATTTCTCGGAAAAATGGTTAGATAACAATTTGTTCAATTGTTATTTTACCATATTCAAACAAAACAGTCAAATGACTATAAATGAGAGATTGCATTCAAACTGTTAACTATGAGAAAATTCATTTATTAACTGGTTTCGCCTAATAGGGTTAAAACACTAGAATTTCATAGCATTAACTAGGTCCACCTGATGAAACTACTTAGTTCTTTGCAGTTGAGTACATATTGTAGCTGAGAGGGCTAATCTGTCAATCTTCTTATCGATAGAACGGGGGTTCCAGTTCCAGCGTTGACATCACAATATTTCCTCCATTCCCTCCAACACAGGAAGAGTTTCCCGAGTCCTGCACTCCCCAATTTGTGATTCTAGACTATTATAATCCGATGCTCTCATTCACGCGTATATGGCAGCACCATAAAGCTGCTTACCACAAAAAAGTCTAGCATTTCCCATTTCTTAGGATAGGTGAAACACATTCCACGGTTAAACCACAACACGGTAAAAACGCAGTAAACCGCATTCCACGGTTTTGATAAAACACAATTCAATCACACTCCAATGCTCATTACCTAACAAAAAGCCTAACAACAGTGACCAGTTAAATTTCTTTTTTATGGTTTTGAAACCATACTTATTGTAAATGGTTAAAAAAAACTAAAGTTTTGAATTCATGGTTTTTTAACCATACTAGTTGCAAACGGTTTCAAAAGCGCAATAGCAAAAAAATTTATTCCGAGTAAACTTTACCGTTAATTGAATGGACAGACTGCTGCCAGTTATTTTACCGTAATTTTAGAAGAAAAATGTGACAGTATAAGTCTTGTATTTAGAAATTTAGCAGAGCAAAAGTATTATTGTCACTCTGACAGTTTGTTAAACGGCATACGATGAGAGTTAAAACACAAAAGTAAAACTTGAGTACAAACTTTAGTAGTAGATACTTAGATCAAGAATGATAAGAAAGCAGTTAGTTTAAGAAATTTGTTCTGTAGGCTTACCAACCATTTAAATCAGAAGAGATAAATCCTATTTTTTTAAAATCTTTTTTAACGCGTGTGTACAAATTTAATTGAGTTCAGCTTGGAATTCTTTCCTTGTGTAATGTGTTGTACAATGTTTGCAATGTATTTCTCACCTAAAATGATTTACAAAAGTCTAATCCAGTGTTGAAGTTTGTTAAATAAATTAAATGTTGTCCTATAATTTTTACATTTTTAATTATGATATTAACATTTGTTTGTTTATTTAGTGGAAGTAGTACTGGCCAGAACCTTAGTACTATCAAATCTCTAAGAGTATTAAGAGTGTTACGACCACTCAAGACCATTAAACGAGTGCCTAAATTGAAGGTAAAAATTTTTTTTAAATATTAAGCTGTGTATATCTAACCATTAGTCTATAAAAACGTATATAAAAGAACTTTTTCCTCATAATTTGGCAAAAGAAATCTCTTTTATGTTTCAACAACACCGTTTTCTACTTTGAATATATATAATGGTTTTGAAACTCATTTAAGTAAGACCAAAGATTTTTTCAATCATTAAAGTGAAGCGTTTTTCCGTCTAGACAAAACCAACAATAGTTTTTAATTTTGGAAATCTTCATGTTTTACTGAAATACTAGATAATATTGGAAAGAGTATGTTCCATAACGACTAACCAACTTGTGGTAAAGAAAAAAAAATTTTTTTTTAGATGTAACGATTTAACACGTTCGCTGCCGGACATCGCGTGCTTGAGCAAGATCTTAAGCGATCACGTTAAAGCTCTTCTAATTCGCAAATATTTATTGAAATTATGGAGATTATTCTCAAACACTCTACATATCTACATACTGTTCGGAGATGATGATGACCCATAGTATTTGAGTGGGATTGGGAAAAAACGGTGTTGAGATTTTTCGAATCACTAAGAATTAAGAAGTAATTATTATAAACTTCTCCAAGTTACATCAAACAGTTTGGTTGTCTGATGTAACTTGGAGAAGTTTATAATAATTACTTCTTAATTCCTATGTATAATAAGGTAATAAAAAAGTTTTTGGTGTTTTTTCAGTCCTATCTTACTTAATAGAAATTCGTTATATTAAATAACGATTTTTCCTTGTTCAAGTATTTTGAAAATATACCTTAAGGGTAGTGATTACGGAATACTGTGTGAAACAAAATCTATTTTGAAAAGAATTGACTCACATTAAAGTGCTATTTTAGTTCCTGAGAAATTATTACCCTTATTTGAGCAGTAAGAAATGGTACTACTCATATGAAACTCTTTGTTAATATTTTTAAACTCGTGTAAGAGTTTTGTTATGATTTTAACTGATATTGCTGAAAAAAATATACGTTCTTAAAAATATTTTCTATTGCAGGCTGTATTTGATTGTGTAGTGACATCCTTAAAAAACGTTGTCAACATACTCATCGTGTACATCCTTTTTCAATTCATCTTCGCTGTTGTCGCTGTTCAGTTGTTTAACGGGAAATTTTTCTTTTGCACAGATACTTCTAAGCTTCGGAGTGAAGATTGTGAGTAAGTATAATTTTAAAAAGTTGCTGATGGAATTAATAATGTTTCTGTTTTTTGGTTAAGACATCACGCAAGTCGATGATTAAATTTCTTCGCAAGATTATATTTTCAAACAACATCGAAGCACCCTAGGCCAATCTTCTTTCTTTAATTCTATTTGTTTCCCTTAGGTTTACATAAGACTTAGTTTATGAAACAGAAGTGAATTCTCTAAAAACATTAAATTTACTTTCTCAAATAAATATGACAGAAAGTAAACAACTAAAGTTTTACATTTATAATAACTAGAATGAAAATAAGTTAGAGTTCAGTGTTTTTATTTAATCTATTTTTAAATGAATGGTAATTATAAAGCTAAGTAGAAGAAAATTTTAAAACGCATTTAAGAAAAGGGGGAAATTGTGTAGTGAAAATCCTGCTTAAACTTTATTAAACAATTCAACGTTAATTTATTTTTTCAAGTCATTAATATTCTTAGATCTCAGTGGAGGTGCCAAGCGACAATCTTAAAGTATATTTTTGAGTCAAATGGGGTTCCAAACGCATTTAACCAAAAACAGCTAACGAGTAACCTGAAAATACACTAAGAGTGCGAACGCTATGGCGCGAATAGTTTAAATAAGTCTAAAGGTTTCATGGATTTCGCTTTTATAGATGCTTGCTGACAAAAATAAAGGTACGGCTTAGTCCTTAGATCCTATTGCCAAATTAGAAACTTTGCAGATAATTTACAAAAATTTCGGTTAGAATCTTTATCTTCTCCTTCAAATGTTTCATTAATTGCCTTTATTTCACATTTCAGTTTTCTCTTTGCCATAGCATTCAATATTAATTTTCATTTTTCCAAATTTAATTTTTTCGTAATTGATGATCCGCGCCTTTTTTCGTTAAACATCATCTGCTAAAAATAATTTATACCCGAAATTTAGTTTGCGTATTAAATTTTATTCCGTAAAAATGTCATGTAATTAAATCATATAATGAGTCATTTATAATTTCCCTTTTTGTGTTTTATTTCTAATATTCATTTTTTATTATTTCAGAGGTGAATTTTTAGTCTTTCAAGGAGACGATAAGCCACCTTTAGTGGATAAAAGAGAGTGGTCTCATCAACCATTTCATTATGATAATGTAATGGCTGCCATGTTAACATTGTTTGCTGTGCAAACTGGAGAAGGTTGGCCAGAGTAAGAAGAATTTCATTTTATTTAAATTTCTTCACTTTGAACTGCAAAAGCCGAACGATGTATACTTTCTTTAGTTGATCTAATTACCAAATATTTTTCACACGAATTTTATTTATTTCGGAGCTAAAAATACGATCTATTATTCGAAGGCGCTAAAACTCATAAGAAATAACGCTTTTTTAACATCGAATATATAACGCCTAGTAATAAATAATAATATATTTTTATCGCTGTTGTGATCTTGAAACAGTTATCCGTGACTGTTAGTATTATTCTAATTTAGCCCCAGCCCTTTCTTCGAAAAATGTACAGAAAGTTAATAAGAAGAAAAAACACAGTTTAATCAAGTGACCCTGAATGGTTTTGTCTCACACCAAATTGATGGTCTTTTTCAGTTAGCCGAGTGCAAGGGAAAAGACGCCAAGAAATGCAAACCCCCACTTACTTTTTTTCTAATTTTTTCATTTTAAATATTTTTTCAAGGCATAAAAATTTAATTAAATAAAAAATAAATAAAATAAAAATAAATAAGTAAAATAAATAAAAGCAAAAATAAATATTTGAATTTCCTTGCGCCTGGAAAACCATAAAGAATCAAACTGAGTACCTCTTAATTAAGAATCGCTCATCGTTTTGGTAACTTAAATTGAAACCAAATTAACAACCCTTTTTTGAAGTTTAAGAATTTTTTTAGATATGTGAGCTCGTTAACTATTTAAAATACAGACATTTTTTTTTTTTGGCAAAATTGTAAATATATCTTAAAGTTTCGCTTTTAGTTTAAAACAATCAAACTGTAGATTTTTTATTTTCTTGGCCTAAAAAACTGCAAAAAAATATCAATAAGCTGCGCTGATTAAGCAAAATCTGAAAGCAAAAAGTAGTTTTAAAATATATTTGATCCATCTGATTTTGAAACCAAACGTCTCATCCCTATTACCAGCGTTGGAATTATGTAATCTAGTTAGAAAAATAGTTTTAAGGCTATTGTTGTCTCCGACATAAGAATTTTGAAAGCTAGAGTTTAATCTTCAATAACATCAATATAAAAAACAATTAATCATTTGATTTTCTTTTTTTTTTAGTGTCTTGCAAAATTCCATGGACTCTACATACGTAGACTATGGACCTCTTCCGAGGTTTCGAATAGAAATGGCTATATTCTATGTTGTGTTTTTTGTGGTGTTTCCATTTTTCTTCGTTAATATATTCGTGGCCTTGATCATCATCACATTTCAAGAACAGGGGGAAAGAGAGCTTGAAGAAGGAGAGTTAGATAAAAACCAAGTAATTTTTTTTAATTGAAATTGTTGATATAACTCTATCACACAGAAATATATAAAGAGTTTCCACTCTAATGCTAGAACGTATAAAAAGACGACACCTTTTTTATCGTTGCGTGCCAAAATGACAACAGTCTATTCCAAACGATTTTTTTTTGCCACCCTATGAAGAAAGACATCATTGATAAATAGATGAGTTTATCGTTTTCTTTTTTCTATTTTTAATTGAATTTATAAAGTTTTTTATAATCGTTTGATGTTTTGTTTTATTTTAGTTCTATGAAATGCGTAGATGCAAATCGTTGAGGATGTTGTTTGCTAATGAAAACAAAAATACATTTTATATAACGTAAATTGCGCTTTATTTTAAGTATTTTAATTACTCATCATTTCTCTTGTTCTTAAAATAATTTCAATGTTGAATTTAATATTAACGTGGATGAAGTGCTCCAGTAATTCTTTTAAACTATTGGAACAATGAATGCGGAAATGAATTTTTCATGTAGACTTTTTGATTTCTCTATTTATAGTAGAATTTAGTTAATAAAAGAAAAGGAATAAATAAAGAAATGAAAGAAATAATATTTGCGTATTGCATGGTAAGATCCAGTTTTTTCACATTCATTTCCATTTTCTTACTGTCAACAGCATAAAATTAATGAAAGCCATTAAGGTATTATTTCTTGTAGAATGTTTTTGCATCCTTTACCCATAATATTTATTTTTCCTACTCTATGTTATTATTACGTTTTTAATTTTGGTTGTTTTATGTATTTATAGTCTAAAAGTAAATATTGTTCTCGCTGTCTAGCACCACTGTAAACAACGTAATTTAGTAGACCACCGTAATTTAGTAGACCTTACAATGGAAAATCGATATCTTATAAAAATTATCTAATCAAAGAATGAGATTGATTTGCAAATTCAGAAAAAGACAAAATAAGTAAATAACATTTACCATAATAAATCAAAATGGAAAAGCGCTTATAGCAGCTAAAACGAAATTTTGTTTATTTAATTTAGAAAGTCAGAATTACTATTCCAGCAGAAAACGAAAAAAACATTTATAAGACACACATTTCTTATAATGTTTTTTTTCGTTTTCTGCTGGAATAGTATTTCTGACTTTCTAAAATAAAAATTTTCTATTCATACTTCAATTTGACCATATTGTAGTGCTATCTATTTGCAAGAAAAATACAGCATAAAATTCTGAAATACATATCCTTAAACTGTTCAAACTCTATTTTTCCAAAACCTTTTCAGAAAAATTTTTAATGTCAATAATCTGTCATCGTTTTATGTTTTGGGGAAATAGAAAATATTTCTAAAATATAAAAATACATTTTGTACTTTCATTGAATATTTTCATGTAGTGCTTTCATAAATGTTACACATTTTCTTCCAGCTGCAGTTTGATAATAATAATTTCAAAAACCATTTTTTAGCTCATCTTTTTATAAAAATATGAGTTCACATGAGTTAATATATGAATGCATACACTGTAACATAGCTTTTTAGATTTATGCTGTAAATTTTAATTTTCCTTCAGAAATCTTGCATTGATTTTGCCATTCAAGCTAGACCACTGCAAAGATTTATGCCTCAGAACAAAACTAGTGTACAGTATAAAATTTGGAAAGTTGTAGTTTCTACTCCATTTGAGTATCTTATTATGGTGCTAATTGTGCTCAATACATTACTTTTGATGATGAAGGTAAGTATTTTTTATCAGGAATTAACTTATTTAAATATTACAATACTCTCCATTTCAATAAATTTATTTTTAATTTGAAGTTAAGTTAAAATAATTTTGAAACATAGCGACAAATGTTTTATTGTAACTATGAAAAAATTTTATAATTTCCATACTTATGTTCAATACCTATATTCAAAGATATTTTTAACATACTTCATATTAACAAGGTACATCGTATGTTTTATTTTGAAAACAATACAATAAAATAATATAATGAAAATAATTTATTTTTCGTATGTTTTAGTTTGAAAAGTGCAAATGTGTTTTATTATGATGTATGTCGATGATTTTTCCCTTTACTTTGTTCTTTAACGACATATAAATTAAGAAACTTAAAATTCTCTTTCTTTTTTAATTCAATTTCTGGTAAAATTATTTTTTTTTATATATTTTTTTATTGTTTCTATCCAGGTAATTCCTTTCAGACGAGTAAAAAATTCCTTCTTTAGCATAGATGCACAAATTAATTTAGAAGAACAAACTAATTTATGTTTATTTTAAAACATTCCAAAATCAGAGGCGCACATGAAATATTTTTAAAATAAAACCTTTTTTAAATATTACTATTTTCAAATATTTTTAATTACGGAGAATACTACATTTTTTCCGTATTAAAAAATTATTTAAACATGAATCAATTGTTTAAACATGATGATTAAAATTATGTTATTCTATTTATTTTATTTATTATATAATTTTGTTTATTACATAATTTTGTTTATTGTATTCTTGTATCCCTTTTATTTGAGTATACTTCAAGAACTTTTCAGTGTTGTATTAGTCTTATTAAAATCAAATCTGTTCAAATAATAAATTAACTATTATGATATAAAAAATTCAATTTTTTCCACTTACGTACATTATTATAAATTTTCATCAAAGATTTAAATTTAAAATTATTTTACTTTTTATAAAATATTATAATATTCATATTGAGCTTTAAAATTGCGATAAAACTCAGTCATATTTCTTACAATGTTAGAAATTTTCGAATCATGTTGAACTCCTGCAAAAGTGAACCAGATTATTGTATTTTTTTAACTTGATTACAAGATACTATGGATCAACTTTAAAGAAAACATGTCTGATTTCTACATTTTTTTAAGTTTGTCATAATAATTAACTTTTGAATCACGCAATGTCTCAAAATATGCAATATCATGGTTTAACGTTTGAGTAATTTATACGAAAGTGTATTACTTAATTTAAAAAATGAGTTAATATTTTCCTTTGAAATTATATTAAAAATGCATTAAACAATAATAATTAGCTAATTAACAAATCTAGCTAAATAAAATTGTTTGTTCTTTTTACCATTGTAAAATGTGTGCATAATGATTTACTGCATAACAGTGTTTTTGTTGTTTGCATGAATAAAATTAGTGATTTACTACATTTTAAAACATGAAAATAATGAATTTTGTTTAAAAATTGTTCTCTTTTTATTTCTTGTTCTCTTATTAATTGTTCTCTTATTATTGTTGTTATTAATTGTTCTCTTATTATAAACTGTACTTAGATATGTGCAAATTGACAAATAGTTTTTTTTACTATATAACTTTTCTTTTACATTTTATCTACACTTCTGTTTCTATCCACATAAAATCAATTTATATTTGATTTTAAGATGTAATTATTTAAAATATTTAATAACTAAAAAATAATTAAGAATAAATTTTTGGCATGATTCGTCTAGCACATATTTATAAAGAAATTAAAAGCGCATTTTTAAAAAACTATTTTGCAAGATGTGGTTTTAAATAAAAAGTTGTTATGCATCATGCTTTTTTGTAGCTTTCGGAATGAATTCATAAATATCATGATGTTTTCTAAGCAATTGCTTCAATATCTTGCATAAGTGCAATATCTTGCATTGATCTTGCATAAGTGCCATTTGCATGTACGATATAACTGAAGCATGAATAGGTAGACACAAATTTTTGCTTGTATAAATATTCATATATATGGAAAAATATTGAAGTATTTTGCGCGATTTTAATTTCTAAAATTCTGCACGATTTTGAGATTACTACAGATTTTGCTCACAAGATCTGGAAGAAATCTTTTTTTTTATGTAATTTAAACCAATAAATATTTTTGGCAATTTTTGTCGTTATATTGCTTTATACTTTAAAAGAAATCATTTTCTAAAAATCTATTTTATAAATATTCTACTTCGTTCAATTTGTAATTTTTATTTTAAAAATCACCTCAACATATAACACATTTAGTTGTTATAAGTTGAAGTGATTTCAACTTGTAGCAACTAAAAACTTATAATAACTTATATCAATTTATAACAAATGAAAAGTTGAAGTTGATACAATCACTTCAACTTATAACAAATTGTATGTGTTTAATGTCAGATAAACTAACCAAAGTAAATTGAGTAGTAAAATTTTTTAATGTGTTCTTTTTAGTGAAATGGGATTTTTATGAAATTTTCTGCAACAAACTTCTTTAGACTTAAACAATTCTTGTACAAGTCTTATATTCTTTTCGAACGAAATACATCTGTAATTAGTGGAGAGTCTATAATAAATTTAATTTCTGGAGCATTTTTTTTAAAACAATTAAAGCATAGGACTTATCACTTTATATTTTTGTCGCATACTGGTAACAATGAGGTCAATTTCTTCAACTTAACAAGTATTAAAAAAAGTAATTCTGATTATGATTTGCCGTCTTAAACACAATATTGCAATTTTTTTCATGCGCATTCAGTAGTTCAAAAGTATTATTTTCCAAACTAAAATGAAGAAAAGTGTTCTTGAGCATAAATTCAACTAATGATTTCTATGCATTTTAATAATTGTTATTTTCACTTAGTTTTAATTGCTGTATAAAGCCTGTCGCCTTAAAAAAAAAGTTATTACAAATACCATATTTAGTATAAAAAAAACTTAGGAATAAAACAGCACCACCAATCATTCCGATTAAGCCATGTAAACATGATTTAACATTTTAAAAAATATTTTAATCATATTTAAACTTTACTATGATTATTTCTCAAAAGAAATCTACATCAGATTTCTTTTAAAAATGTGAAAAAGATCCAGAACTAATCTCAAAATTATTAATTCAACTATAAATCTTTGGAAATTGAAATTAATAAGGTTTTTTGGAAAGTATACAACAATTGCGTTGAATTAAAAGAAAACTAACATTCGATAATCAGATTGAGAATTATTAACTGTGAAACTTGTCTGTAGAAATACCATAGCTTTACAAACCGCAGGAAAGTAATTACAGATTTGAAGTTTGGCAAGCTGAAAGGGCCATATTTGCATATGAAGTTAACACAAAGTATTTTTCAAAATTCCAGCTTGCTTAAATTTTTTTGCATTTTTAAGTGCTTATTTGTGAATTTTTTCTCACTTATTTTGCTTTACGTTACATTTTAATTACGATGNTCCACACCAATACATATAAATGATTTAACACTTTGAACTCTGATGTTTCATCGATATATATATATATATATATATATCCTATGTTACTATTATATTAAAAATTGAGTTGATTAAATTATCGATTTATATTTGGTCTGTTAAAACTGCTGTTCCATCATCTATAGACCATGATCTGAACCATGATTTATTAAACTATATTATTCTCATTTTTTAAAATAAAAACGATCTGCAGTATAAAAAATATGATTAGAAATATTTAAATAGGCATGGCATATTATTAGCACGTTTTTTACACTTTGACGTTAAATGTTTCAACTTAATCAACTTATTCTCTAAATCAACTTAATGATAAATACTTAAATCGTTTTCAAATCGGTTTCAAACAAAGTATTTATTATTTAATAATTCGAAAATCTTTTTGTTTTAACAACAAGAAAAAAAATTATACGGAATAATATTTTCGTTTCCATCTTAAACAAAACTTATCATCAAAATACTGTCTACTTCTTCCAAATTCTGCTTTTAGGTTTTATTAAAGCTGACAAATTTGAAGCTTATTGTTGGATGTTTTTAATATGATGCAATAGTTTAAATTAAACGGACTAATGCCTTTGAAAAATTGGTAAAAACTAGTTAAACTTCTATAGCTTTTAAAGAAGCTCAAGAATTTTAAAAAAAATATATTTTCTATTTTCTTCTGGTATATTTTTTTTCAATCTCAATCAGCAAAAATCAAAGAACTACACTTCTATGGTACAAAATTATAAAACATAGTTCTGCAAGGCTACCAAGTATTGATGAGATGGAAACTTTAAAGCTACAGTAATTTAAGTTTAGCTATAAATTTTAGAATTTCATTTGCCTGCTTTTAGACTTAAATTAATCTATATTTAAAACTAAAATAAAGCTGAAAACTGCTCAATTTTCTTTGGATAGTAATTGCTGAAGTACCAGCCTTTTCTTATTATTACTTTCTAGTGAATTTCAGAATTCATCTTTTATCTTTATGGTATATTTAAAATCAATGTGAACACTACTCAATGTCAATCGAATATTAGAATTGAGATATATTTTAGTATTTTTTTTTCCTTATCATATTTAATTGGTACATAAACTGCTCTGCGTGCCAGGAGAGGGTTCAACATATATCATCATTCCTACACGTGAAAAATAATTCAGGCTGCAATGATATATTTAATATTACAATAACATATACTGGGTTTTGCAAAAATACTTTTATATTATACATACTCTGACTTCAAATATTTTACTTTTCTTCAATTGTTAAATCTAGCTTTTACAACACTTTCATATTAGATTCACCTGATATTATTCTAACTACATTGAAGTTCTATTTGTAAGCCTAGTTCAAAATAGTTCCAAAACCTCCATTGTCTTTTTTAAAAATGTGTTTTCTTTTTTCAATTTTAGCAGAATTTTTAAAAACTCTCTTCAATGTGCAAAATAAAACTAAGAATTAATGAATTCAAATAATGAATTAATGTTTTCAAATTAAAGTTTTCGAAAGTTTTTATTGCAATGTCCTTCAAACATCGTTAAACACATGTATTATTTTCAAGTAGGCTACCACTATAATTTTTTGTAAAATCCTTGCTACTTGAGTGCTATAACAGAAACGGCTAAAAAAAATTTGTAAAAACCAACCTGTTTCCCTTTCCTAAACAATGTAAATTTTTACAATAAAAACCATTTCCTTTAGAACTATTTTCTATTAAATAAAATTTCCAGTTCCTTCTCCTCTAGCGTTGAGTAGTTGATGTATTAAGCTTAAATTCTCCTCTTTTCTTAAATAGCACATAATTTAAACATTAAGGGCTATCATTTCATTTCTAATTATTTATTTCTAAATTACTGCAATGTTCTGGATTATCTTTTGATTAAAATTTAGAAGCTCTTCCAAAATAAATATTTAGTTTTTATTGAGACTCCAATTTCTATCGATTTTTTCTTATATTTAGATAAATAATTTATATTAATACAGATTTAATGACTGTGCTTTAATCACATTATGAAAATTAAATATATTGAAGAAAAATCAAATGAATAGCATTTAAAATATTTCGTTCAAAAAAGAAGGAAACAAAAATTCCTTTAAAATCAGGATTTGATAATTTAAGAAGTGCTTACAGGATCTGGGATTAATTTGTAACATAAAAAGTAGGCATATGCAGTTACAAAAAACTAGTATTCAAACAACTAAATATACTTTTCCAATTCGGAATTTCAACTATTCTGTTGTAAATTTTGTTTTATGAAGACTTAAACTTTTTCTTTAGTTTTTAACTTTCGACACTGATCTTGGATCACCCATGCAAAAATAATTTTGAAGTATTATCCACAATAGGACAATGGCACAAGAGAAACCAAAAACAACTATGAATTTAAGTGACAAATCTGAGTATAGTCCAGAACCACTTCTCTCCTTATATACTTCTTTTTGAAATTTATTGCAAATTCAAGGACCGGGCCGTAGAACTATTGAACCTTAGGGATAGCAGTTGTCGTGAACAAGTACCGATATGAGAGTACCTCCAAACATTTATTTTGTTTCAATAATTAAAAATTGCATATATTACTTTAAGTTTTTAAAATTCTATCAAAAATCTATCTTTGCTATAATCAAAAATAATGTCACTCCAACTTTTTCTTCTAATTGGAGTCTCAGTAAGAACAGGTTTCAAAGAAAAAATAATGGGATACCAACCTAGAAACTTTTGAATAATAAAATAAAACACAAAACTCATTAATAAATTGATAAGCGAGAAAATTTTTGGTATTGCCAAAGTCATTTCTACTTTTGCTATGTGTTATGTGCATTTCCCACTAAGCTCTCTGCTGTGACTGCCTCTCCGTTACACTTGCCTTTGATTAGAACTTGCAAAAAAATGTGATTGCTTTTGTGTTTTGTCCAGTTTTACAAGCAAATTAAGACGTTCCACGACACCCTGCAGTACATGAATACAGCCTTCACTGCACTCTTTACGGTAGAATGTTTGCTCAAGTTGATTGCATTTGGAGTCAGGGTAAGAACATGGAACGAAACTGTGTATTCTAAACCTCCCAACTTGTATACTTTAGAAATATATTATATTAGTAATGAGTACATTAAAGTTTTATGCATTCCGTATCCGAAAAAAAATAAAATAAAAGCTTTTTTTTTATAATTTTGTTAGTAGCAATGACGTACATTTCTTGTTTTTAATCACAGAAAAATTGAAACAAAATAGTTATATTTGTGCTATTTTGTTTTATATTTATAAGCCATACATTTTTGTCTGTTATGGTGCTATGCAAATAGTATGCGATTTCTTCGAAACAATTTATATCATCAATTGCAAATTTATAAAAGCAATAATTATTTAAAAATGTTAATTGTAGCTTAATTTTTAAATGTTAATTGCATTTCAGTATGAAACGTATATTATAAGTTGTGGTTATCAGCAAATTATTTTTTTTCAACTCCCAGGAAATATCTATTTATTAATAATTATATATTTATGCAACAATTTAATTCCATCGATATACTTTGTACATAAAATAGTTAAAAGCGTAACTCCTAATTTTTAAATGCAATTTGAAATTAAAAAATTTTATTTTTATATAAAAATAATTGCTGCCGATATTAAAAAGTATTCATGTAGTAATAAACAAATCTACATTAAAAGTAACTAAACCAGTTGTTTTTATTTTAAGAATAGTTTTTCCTCGTTATGATTTTGTGCTCATTTCAAACAAGGTTAACTAATGACTAAAATATTTTACGTCATGATTAAAAAATATTACATTTATGCTCTTAATAAAATGGGTTCTGCATAATCCATAATTAAAGTAATTTCATTACCTTAAATTTTAAAATTCTTAGTTAGCCCTTGTTAAACAAAATTTACATTATTTCTTGATTGTAAATATCCGCAATAGAAATTTTGAATTATGATTCAGAAAATCTAATTCTTAGAATAGAATTTTCTAATTTATTGATATAGAGTTTAGGAAATCCGCTCATTATTTCAATAGTTATATTTGATGACAATATCTCAATTCTTGAGAATTTTAAATTCTTAATTAAATTTATGTTTAATTCATTTAAGAAAAAAATAGAAAATTGTTCATTATATTTTCTTACATAATATTGTATAAAAAATTTCTTTTAAAACTATTTTTTTTTAAAAAAACAATTTTTAAATTTATTAAATAATTTTTTACATAAGCATAAGTTTTCATAAGCTTTCATAAAAATTTTAAGTAAGTTCTCGCAAGTATTTCTACATTCTTTTTTAAAAAAACTTGGCATTAAACTATTAATTATAGCACCAGCAAAACAACTTCGATTATTTTGAAATGAAACTACATTCCATGTTGAAATTAAAAAACAATAGTTGAATATTAACGCAAGTAGTTTTGCACTACTCGATGCATCAAGTGTAATTCAACTATTGTTTTTTTTTAAAAAATAAGTTCATAAAAGGAAAAATGAGGTTTTAGAATGCATTGCTTGGTTAGTAGAAACTTTTCAAAGTGCGCATTTATGAAAAACTTGACCCATGCTGCATGTGAAATGCATCTTCAGTTGGAAAGCAGTTTGTTAATCGTAATACTGACGTTTGTTGCAATTATATAATTTCGAATGAAATGTGTAAAAAGTCTGTTTCTTTACTATAAAACTATTAAAATCTGCAGTCAAACATGTAGAGTGCTGAATTAAGAAAAAAATTCTAATTATTTGTGGAAATTAATTGATACACATCTATACCTATGCTTCATCATTTTCATTGCATGAAGGCATATGTGTTTTTTTATTACAGTTACTTTCCAACCAAAGAAAAAGACATTTTTATCCCCTGGTTTTCCTTACATTAAATTATCTACATATTTGTATGAATTTTAAATTTATACAATTTTTCATCTTACATCCAATGCATTTTATTTTATTACTCTTGTGTATGTTTCTTCGCTATGAAAATTAGTTCGAATTAAATATATACATGCATACATACATTAATACAAAATTACAAGAAGAGAAAGATATATTAAAGTTTCGCATTGAATATAATTTTATATTAAGTCATTAATTTCATTCTCAACAGTCTAATTAATAGGCCATGAACTACATCAAATATTTTTACGAAATATTAATATTTTTACGCATTACATTTTTATGAAATATATTGAAAAGTATTAGAGATTCTGGCTATTAAAAAATAAATTGATTAATAAAATAAATTCTTAATTGTTTTACAGCATGGCATATTTTGCGTGTTTATTTCAAAACTATACATTCTATATTGTTGGTTAATATTAGTGTACAAGTTAAATAAATTCATTTTTTTTTAAAAAATGTAGTTAAATAAATTATTAAAATCTGTTTAGATTATCTATTTAATTTAATAATTCTAAAAATATTTAAATAAATTATTGAAGTTTGTGCTCTCTCTATTTAAATTTTATTAGAGTTTTCTTATAGTTTAAATTAAGTTTTATTTATTTTTTACTTCAGATTTCACTCTCGTTATTATTAATTACTTTAAGCTGAAATAATTAACTGCTAACATTTTGATAAACCCTCTGAAAAATTGTCGTTATTCATTTTTGCAAAAGATATTAAGATAAATTATTTTTAAATGCATTATCTAATTTTAAAAAAATGATCAAGGTAAATTTAAAACCCTTACAGAACAGGTGCTTTTCCTGCACTTAATTGACATTTTCTAACTAAATCTAATGTGGCATGTTCTTCATAAGTATTAAAAATTGCATCTAAAACACATTTATTTTTAGTTTATTTTACACGCTTTTTATATTTTGAAATAAGTTTTACGTTATGATTTAACAGTTCATGCAAGCTAGTTTGTTAGATATTACAATTGATACTACGGCTCTTACATTCAAATTTTAGTTCTCGAAAATAAGAAAAGGCGATTTGTTTGACGTAAAAAGTGAATACTTTTCTATCTAAGTTGGAAACATTTAACAAAACTTGAAAGAGATATCCAATAAAATTTACATGGTATAAATAGCAAAGTTAAATTTTATAATATTGATTATTTTAATTTGTAGAAAAGCTTAAGTTGTTTTTTTAGTTTTCCATTATAAAGGCTTAAAGCTCTAAAGTTATTAAAGTTAGTTTAATAAATGCAAAATAGTTATATTTCTTTGGTCAGAAGTTTAATACATTATTTCAAAAGTTAATAGAGTATTTTCAAAAAAATTATAAATTATAATTTTTAATATTATAAAATATTACGTATTTGCAAGCATAAAGAAAAATTTTTATTTATGATGTCTATCTTGGTCTATTAAATTTTTTTAAAAGTTTGAATGCATTTGTGTACATGAAAAATTGGTCCCCTATATAATAATGATGGGATGAAATTCTCATCTTCTGTAAGTATTTAAACTATGCATTTGTGGAGTAATGTTAAATAAACAAAGAAAGGCCTTAAAGCAATCAACATTTATGATATTTTGTATATGTTTTATGTGCTATATTGTAATTTTAGAAATTTTTGCATGATATGATGGTATGGTTGCATTCTTGAAACTTTCATTTGCATTATGGTGCATTTTTTCCAAAATGCATGCTTGTTTTATTGCTCGAATTTCAGATAATTACTTCATTTTTATATGCATGGAAAAATGTTTTGTTATATTATTTGCATGATAAAGCACGTTGTTTGAATTTATGACATGATATGCATTGTAAATATTTATAAATATAATTTTATTGACTGTTGGTCATGAAAAAATATATTCCATTATATTGTTTGACTATTAGATGAATGTTAATAACTTATGTTTATATTCTTTATAGGTCTTGATACCCATTTAAATTATATAACTCATATTAAATAAATATTTTTTTAAAAATTTTTATTTATCCCCAAGATTACTTAATACATTGAGTATCAACCAAATGAAAGGTATTAAATGTATTAAGTAAATGGAAACCTGCTTGAATTTTATTGTTATGCATTGTACCTTAGACCATCCCATTGTTTTCTATGTTTATTTTCAACTCCTGCCGCCTTGTTTTCTTGCTACTCCACAACGTGGCGCTGTAGTACCATGCAGCCAATCCTGTGTATCTAGACATATTAAGCTACATGAACGAAGTTTTTACGGCACTCTTCCTGATTGAATGTATTCTGAAGCTATTGGCATTCCGATGCAAGGTTTGAACTTAAATTATTGTCCTCTTTTATATATCACAATCATTCTCTAACAGTAACAAAGATTTGGGTTATTGCTTTCAAAGTTGAAGTATCAATGCAAATATGTTTACTGATCCTGATCGAATATATAATTTGTAAGAAATTACTATAAATTTGAAACAATTTAAACATTTTGATAATGTCTACAAAAGTAATTAAATGACAAAATTTAATTAAAATAATGTTTGACTACATTTGTTGAAAACGAAGATAAAAATAATAATCTCCCTTTTGATCTATAGAGGAGTTTGCACAGGACCTTTAAAACTTACTTTCAATTGTTTTATTATTCAATAGACAGAACAAGTTTATAAAAGAATGCAAAGAAATCGGTATGGTAAAGTAATAACTGACTTAATCTTTAGCAAATCCGCCCAATGTTTCAGACATATTAAAATAGATGAACCAAATTTTCCTCTACAAGTATTTTTTATTGATCTAGAGAGTGTGTCAAAAAAGCTTCATGGGATAGCCATCAAAATTATAGCGCATGGAATTATTTCAATTTCCAGTTCGATGCACACAAAAAATTGAGAAAAACAATTTTTTGTAATAAAAAAGCAAAATAAGACTATTGTAAAATATTTTACAAATTCTTATGATTTTAATAATTCGTTTGCTTTTTTACATGAGAACCAACTTATTATATATAAATTTAGCAAATTAAGGCGGTAGATTTCAGAAACTGAGGTGGAAGGGAATACGGTATTACAATAAAAAGAATCAGAAAAATTGCCATAAAATACACAATTATTTTAATTTTCATAAATTTGCTCATTGAAATGATGAATCTCAAAATCAAACCCCTGCTATTTAGACATGAATGAAAAACAGAATGGGCTATTAGTTTGTCAACACCAACGTTTTTGGAAAATCGATTAGAAAAATTATAATTCTTACTCTGCCAATTTAATGCAGTATTCTTTAGTTACTTGAAGATTTATTTCATGCAAGTTTCCGAATATTTGGATTTTATTGAATTTACTTTGATTAGGCATCTTTTTAGCTATTGGTTTAAATTATGCATACAAATTTTACATCACGTTTAAAATGTGCTGAACCTTTCTTTCGGTTCTGGGGGTGCTTTCGAATAAAACCGGTTCCTTATTCTAGTCAAAAATGAAGGGGTACCCGATTTTATCCAACTTGAAAAGTTTATTTCCCACTTGTTGAAAAATTGCTGACTGAATTAAAAAATAAAGGACAAGATCTAACGATTGTAATATACGTGAGTATTGGTACATATTAAGGAAAATGAAGCGTTCATTTAAGAAAACTTGGATCAGCTCATGCGTTAGCGTTGCAGAATAGGGGCTCGAAATCAAACAAAATCACATGAGGATATCTCCAAAACGCTTGGGTTAAGCGAATAAATTGTTAAAAAATTGACCACAAGTCACACCATGTTACAAATATTATATACTTTATCCCATGATAGGAATTAGTCTACTGATAATGAAAAAAAATGCTATCAAACTTTTTTAATGTTAAAAAAATAGTGGCAAATACGTTATAAACGCTAAAAAAGGAGCAATTAAAAGATAAGGAATTATTCAAAAAGCAGAATTACATAATTTTAAAAAAAACTCTTCAAAAAATAGTGGTTAAAATTTTCTATGTTTTTGGACGAAAAAGTAAGCAATAAAAATATTTGGTTGTAACCACTTATAAGAATCGAGTTGATTTAGTCTCATTTAATTTTCCAGATATTATATTTATTTTATATCAAGTTTATCTTAAAATGCGTTGACAGAATTCCTTATAAAATTCTGTGGTTTCTGAATAACTGATAACATAAAATAAATCATCGACTTTTTATTTGTCTTTTTCATGAAAGCCATAGTCTTCTAGATCCATAGAAAAGTTGCTGTTTTTTTCTCAATTTTTTTAAACTATATTATTTTTACTTTTTCGTGTTTCGGGATTCACTACATATTTTGTTGTTGATGCTAATCTCGGAATCGTCCAAAAAGTCCATAAAAAGACTGGAGTCTCGCAGTAGTACATCATCTTTACCGAACCCCAAATAAGTCAGAATATGCGCAGGGGAGGCCATGTCTGTCGAGCACCAATGATTTTTTTGCTAAATATTTTAAAAAGCGCATGCGCTTTATTTTCACTCAGAATTTGTTGATGTTAAACAAAAGAAGGTTTATCTAGATACTGTTTGAAATTCAAACTGTTCCAATATTTTTAATTTAGGGAAATTTGAAAAGAAGTAGGTATGTATAAGCAAGTTTTTCACTTAAAAAGTAAAATATAGAACATGCATACCATAACACATATGATTGAATCATATTTCCTCATCATGACTGCTATAAATAAACATTTCAGATGGGAAAAAAAACTTTTTTTTAATTTCCCACCGGAAAATAAAACCCGTTTTTAGCATACTTCCAAAAAGTAATTAATTTATCCCCCAAAATAAAAATAAATTTCGCATTAAATCATATTCATTTTGGAGCTGAATGGCTATTTTATCACTCAAATAAAAATTTAAATGATTTTATTCATGGAATTTCTTAGGGTAAACAAAAACTTTAAAGACCGGTTGGACAGATATTTTTCCTGACCAAGTAAAGCTTTAGTTAAATTAACTAAAGCTAAAATTAAGTAACCAAAGCTTAACTTAAACTAAGGATGTTATTGATTATTTGAAATTAATAATGTCTTTCGCTTTGATTCCTTTAATTTGGTAAGTTCATTAAATTTGAACTCTGTCAAAATTCTTCATGAGTTTTCCTTTAAAAGAAATCCACATTAGAAAAAGCTACTCAAGCGATTTGTGTTAGGCAAACCTAAGTTCTTCTGGTGACTTTGTAAAATACGGAAATTCGTGAAAATCGATATTCACATACTTGTCAGCGACTGATCGAAATATTTGATAAGTATCATTATGCCTCACATGCACTGACTGTTATCGATATTAAGTAAGTTGCTATGATTGAGAAAAACAAACTTGTTTCAAAAACAAAACGCGTCAGACCTTAGATAATCTCTTTCTTTTTTTCTTAAATTGCAATTTAAGAAGAAAATGTGATGAAAAAGTATAAAAAAAACCCAAAAAGTATGATAATTCAGAAAACTTAGAAAATAAATTGCAGATTAAAGAAAAATTCAGGAATTGGAATATTAGTTGCTAGAAAACTTGAAATCAGAGTTTCAGTGACTAAACATTTTGTTTAATGCTTTTGATCAGGATGCAATGTTGTTTCGTTATTCTAAAATTTTGGCTGCTCATAAAATTATCATAACAACCATAGATTTAAAACTTTCTTGAATTTCATTTCATGAAAACTTAAAATATTAAATTCTTAGTATAGTTCTTTACATGAAATATATTTTTTACAGTATATTTTACAACACATCTTCATTTTTAAAGCTTTAGAGTTGCAAGAATTTTAATCATATCTTTTTTTAATTGTTTAAAAAAGCAGAATCACATAAAAAACTTTCATAAAAAAATAGATGAAAAAAACTCTTTAAAATGTCTTATTATCTACCTAACCCTAATTGGCTGTCCAAACATTCTTTAAAACTTAAGGCAAAAAATCTACCATAACATTCTATAATCAGCTTACTATGCTGCTATTTAGAAAAAACACTAAAAGATAACTTGATTAACTTGGTCAGCCAATAAAATGACACAAACTGTTTAGGTAAAAGCACTAACTGTTAAGGTAATAGTCATTATTTAGCATGCACTAATGTCAAGGTTGTAAATGAGAATAATTCTAACAAAAAACTTTTAGAATTAGAAAATATTTAAATCTAAAAATTCTTCAGTAAAAAAATACAATATTCCCTATCAGCGCATACTGAACGTCAGCTTTTTCTCGTGTAAAAAATAATCATGTTTATTAAATATTTCGAACACATTTTCCGAAATGACTGAATGAATGATGATAAACAAATGTTTACGGTAATATGTATTTTCATCCCTTTTTAACATCATTTCACTTCTAAGCAATCTTTAAGTTGTTAACTTATAGATTATAGGGTAGACTAACCAGTGAAGAAACACTTAAGCTTCGCTTGCCTTTTAAAAAATCATATTAATTTCAAAATTCGTAATTTTAGTTAAATGACAGTGTAACAACATA